CCCGATTCATCATTAATTATTAAGGAATCTTACAGAGTTTCGTTGTTTTTTCCCCCCTCCAAATTTTTTATTATTCTTGATTTTTCAAAAAAATTCCCTTTTTTATACTCAAAATTATCTTGCTACCAATTGTCATTAACAACTGATATTGTTTATATTTTCTTCTCATCCAGCGATAAATAATTAACAATCCCACAAAGTTTTGTCGTTTTCTCCCTCCTCCCCTAAATTTTTTTTAATTTCTAGTTTTTCAAAAAAAATTCCCTTTATTACATTTAACTTTGACTGCTGCCAATTGTTATTAAGAATTGACATTGTTTATAATTTTTTCCTCATTCAGCGTTAATTATAAAGCAATCCTACAAAGTTCTGTCGTTTTCTCCCCCCCCCCTAGATTTTTTTAAATTCTTTATTAATTTTCAAAAACTTTAAGACTTTGTTTTTAAAGTGCAAAATAGAAAAGCAAAAATTCAGTCAATAATTCAAATTTGTCAACACTTATACTAATTCAAATTTAGAGAGTGTAATTAAAAATAAAAATTGTTATAAATATATTCAAAAACGTTTCATTTATGTACATTTTCAAATTATTATTAGTATTTATTTATTATAAATAACAAAATATTGTTTTGCAAGAAATATGAGGAATGATTCTAGAAAAGGAGTAAAAGAGAAAAAAAAATAAAAACACAAAAATAACCAACCCCATTATATAATATAGTATATTAAAAAACGCGGATATAATTTATGATTAACGATATTATATTTTAAATACTTCTCTTAATTTGAATTTTATTCCCAAAATATTGTTTTTTCTAATTAGAAAAATTATTTTTAACTATAAATATAACTTTAATTACGCAGTATTTCTCATTCTAGTCTAGAAATTTCTAAAAATATTAATTGGAGTAAAAGAAATATTTCGTTCATTTTAGGAAAAAGTTTGACCAGAAAAAAAATTTCTTCGAAACAACTAAATTTCGCAATGCAAAAATTTATACAAACATCATTTTTTATATTTACGAAAATAAAAATTCTCTATAAAAATTCAATATCGCGTGTTATATGTATATCAACTCATATAACGTGTTGTTTCAATTAAAATTGTAAAACTGATTTTAAAATTTTAAATCTCAATCAATTTCAATTTATTTCTAATATTTTTTAATATATAAAGCAAAAAATAAAAAATAAAACTGCGCATTTTTTAATAAATTGACGTAGTATGTTTTAAGAAAATTAACAAATAACAAAAATTTAAACTTTTATATTGATGAAATGTCAATAAAACACTATAACTATATACTTTCTCATCTACGTTCCATCGATATTTTCAAGATTATTTAAAAATTCCATTATGATTATGTCAAACCGTATAAACCGAAGGGTCAGTAAAAAAAATCAATCCACTATTACAGTGCCATTATACTCGAAGTAAAGATATCGCTCTTTTAATTAAAAGTGTTGTTTAAAATATCAATTTTTATGTATACAAGGGCAGTAAAAAATTCTAGCTATAAAATAAATATTATATTATGATTGAAATAAAACGAAAACAACGTGAAAAGGTATTTTCACTCCTTGCCTTTTTTAAACAAGTAAAAATAAATAATGTAAAAAGAAATTATGTAAATACATAACAAAAATAATTTTATAAAAAAAATTATGTACCTATATTAGATGCTAAACTAACAAAATGAATTTTGTAAAAAAAATATTTTTGTAATATATTTCTTTTTCTATATAGAGATTTCTTATTTTTTTGCTTTTTATAGAAAACACGTTTCAAGCAGAAAAATAAATGACCGTTTCGTGCTTTTGTAAAAGGAATCCCGGACCGAAAATAAGATTAAGAGGACTTATTGGATTCTGTATAATCTCGCTCAACATTAAATTATTGATGTCACATTTAAGAGAAACTTTTAATTGTTCTTAATTAAATAATTAAAAATTTTTATTGAATAGAAATAATATTTAATTAGGTCATTTTAATTTCGTTTTGCCCTATTTAAAAAAAAAAAAATTGACATTTTGTAGAATATACGATTTGGAATTTTCTTATACATCACATTTACAGTAATTTACAGAAAAATAAGATTTTCTGAATTTGTCTTTCTCAGTTTCAAAATTCAAAAAATAAACCTTAGGAAAATGAGAGGAAAATTTTATGAAACAATTATCATAAATATTCTGAATGTTCAAATGAACGAAATTTATTTATTTCTCTTTCAAATTAAAAATTTTATTCTACTAATATTGCATCACACGTTAAATATGAATTTACAAAGTTTCAAAATGTAAACATTTCCTTTCATTTACGTTTTCCAATAATTTTAATTTTTAATGTATATTGACTTTTAATTTGTTTTAAATATTTATGGCGACAAAAAAATTTCGTTCATTTGAACGAGAAATTTTGAAACATAAAATTAAGTAAAATAAAATAAAATTGAATAATAATTAATAATTATTTTCAATCTGAAGATATCCGAAATCATTCTTACAAAATAAAAAAAATTTCATAAAAATAGGACTATTTTTGATGAAATATAATTTAACCCCCCCCCCCCCACCCCATTAAATGGGATAGAAATATTTTTTTTTTTAAATCAGTATTAAAGTTATCACTTTAGAGTATAAAATATACATAATAACGAAAGCAAGTAAAAATAATATTCATAGTGAAGTTTTTCTTGCGTACCTATTATAAAAGTTATTTTACAGCTGCTCGCTCTCAGAATTGTCGTATAGCGAAAGAATCAAACTTTAAAAGTCGATTTATTGTCATGATCAGATAACCGTGAATTGAGATATATATAATTTTTTTTTCCTCAAGTTTCAAATTTTAATAATCCTATTCTTTGTGGAGAATTTGAAAGATAAATTTTATAGTTTGCCCGCCGAGTACTTAATAAATTTCTTTTCTCTTATTATAAAATTTCACTGTCATATTCGACAGTATTGCCAATAATCAAATTTTTGATAAAATAAAAACTCTGTATGTAAACACTATATAGTGTTCAAATACTAATGTATATATATATATAAACTATATTTTTAAGTATTAAAAATTCAATGATTTGATTCAATAAAATTAAATTCCCGAATAGGAGCGCGAAATGACATTTCCCTCAACAGGAAACAATTATTTGCTGAAAAGAATCGGACTCACCGGTTGTTGACATATTTCTAGGTTAAAAGTGCCGTGAATTACTTACAGCGCTTGTTTTATTATCCTTTCCTTTCTGCTATTATCCTAAATCCTTAGGTGCGAAGTTTGAAACATTTGAAGAAAAACACGTGCTGTCATATTCCGTAAGGCACATCACAAAACACAAAACACTCGCGATCTTTGCTGCTTTGTTACGAAGTCTAAGACATTTGAAAAAACGTCATACGAAAAACACTCGCGATTTCATTATTAATGCTGCTTTGTTACTTTTCACTTGGGAAAAAACGTCCGAATGCTTCCGAACAGTCCACTGAGAAAATGGGAAATTTTTTACATTTACGATGACCGATCACTTCCAAGATGTGTAAAGGTTCGAATACTCCCGGAAAAACTAACACCGAATCCACCTATTGTAAGAACAACAGAAGTTGCAATTGAGAATAATCTTACAATCAGGTGATTAATAATGGCGGACGAGGCCACTTTTCATATCTTTTCCGATTCGCGGTGATTACAAAAGAAATGCTGGAAATTTACTAAAAAGAAGACTTGTTAAATAAATGTCACGAAGTGCACACGTAAAGTACGGACTTTATGTTAGGAAAATAAAGGAAAACTTCGGCCGCGTTTTTCTTTTTTCTTTAGCAAATTAAGCAACACTACTGCTCTCAGTGAGAAGCGGAAAAGAACTGCAACTCCGATTGCAAATGGCGCGAATGTACAGTTCGTGCAACTTCGGGAAAAGTCGACTGCTTCCGATTTGCTACTTGTTGTCGCGTTTTCCCGATAGATGGCACTGGTGTCGCTAACACAAGAAAAGACGAAAATGCAATTATTTTACAATATTTTACAATTACAATCACGATTTTAATTTTACTTACGATATTTTACGAGCACGCCCGAAATCTAATACCGATTGTAAGAATAAAAGATTGCAATTGATAATCTTTCGCGATTATCAATTAGGTCCTTCCGACCTACTCCGATTACGGAATAAATGATGGAAATTTACTAAAAAGAATACTTTTTGAATAAAAGACACGAAGGGCATGTAAAGTATGGACTTTATAGGCAAATAGAGAAAATTTGAGACGCGATTTTCTTTTTTTTAGCAAGTTGTACTAGCAACACTACTGCTCTCAGTGAGAGGCGGAAAGGAACTGCAATTCCGATTGCAAATGGCGCGAATGTACGGTTCGTGTAACTTCGGGAAAAGTCGGCTGCTCCCGAACGGAAACTTACTACTAGTGCCACCCGATAGGTGGCAACACAAGAAAAGACGAAAATGCAATTATTTTAAGATATTTTACAATTACGATCACGATTTTAATTTCAATTACGATATTTAACGAGCACTCCCGAAATCTAACACCGATTGTAAGAATAAAAGATTGCAATTGATAATCTTTCGCGATTAAAAATGGCGGACGAGTCCATTTTTGCTCCGATCTTTCCGACCTACTCCGATTACGGAATAAATGCTAGAAATTTACTAAAAAGAATACTTCTTGAATAAAAGTCACGAAGGGCAAGTAAAGTACAGACTTTATAGGGAAATAGAGAAAAATTTGGGCCGCGATTTTCTTTTTCTTCAGCAAGTTAGCAACACTACTGCTCTCAGTGAGAAGCGGGAAAGAACTGCAATTCCGATTGCAAATGGCGGGAATGTACGTTCGTTCGGGCAAGTTCGTGAAACTTCGGCAGCACCCGAAATTTGCTAAGAGTTGTAACACTTTTCCCGACAGATGGCACTAGTTTCGCCTAGCAACAAAGTGAGAGAAAAATGGGCCCCTTTAATAAATATTGGTTATGTTAGCCTTTTGTTTTTCTTTTGTTGTAATTATAAATGTGGAAAAGTAACATTTATATGGCGAAAGTAATTCAATGGCAAATATAAACTGATTCTAAAAGTGTAAATAGGAAAATTATTATCAAAATTGTGCCAATGAGAAAATATAGTTTCTTTAACAGTTGATGAGACGATTGTCGTCAAGTCCGAGTGATGGAAAAGAAAAGGAAGGAAAAGTAAAGAAAAACGATTCTTCATCCTGTTTATATTCCCAAAATTAGAAAGAAAATTCTATCTTTGTTACTAAACACTAAAAACTACTTTAATATCCTGGTAAGTAAACAACTATTTCTACACCAAACTTTTACGCAAAGAAAGAAAATATACGAAGAACGAAAAAACGTATTTCTTCAACAATAGAATATTATTACTGATCGAATATCTCATTAAAAGAATTTTTTTTACAGTCGATGATTATTGTTAATAACCATATTTTACACGAATTTATTGAAATTAGTCCTAATTTAAAAATATTCCATCCATAAATCCATTATTGAAATTCAAACTGGCCTGTCATTTACAGGATGTCCGGGAAAACCGCACTCAACACTGCCAGCAAAAGCACTCACGACGCTTCTCTGTCCTCTTTTATCTGGATTAGCAAAAGAATTATGACTTCAATAAACTTTTCTATTTTCCTTTGTGATAGTGCTCTAAAATGTCCAATCACTTCTTGCAAAAAAATGGGAAAAAGTAAGACGAAGAAATGAACAATGTCTCCGGCAGCAAAAAGGATGAGGTACAAATGATTCTGAAAAACTTCTTTTCAGTTTGAAAAATCACACCTTCCGTTGACTACCACTGGCGTGTTTTTCGATGAATTCCAAGACAGGACAACAGGTTTTTTCTTTCGTATTACATTTATAATAGTCGAATAATGTACAAAAGAACATCAATTTCGAAAACTTTCTTTTGAATTACTTGAAAATTTCGTTTTTAAAACATATTTACGATTTACAAATAGATTTTTACAGATAAAATTATTTTACAATTCGTAAAATGTCCATAAGATCCGTAATTTAATTGAAAAAAGGCGAAAAATTCATAAATTGTACGAAATAATTTTGAGAATTTTGGAAAAATTACAAATCATTGCAGAAATTCAATTATTTTTAAAAGTAATAAAACTATTCACAAAAATTCAATTACGTTTAAGGATTTTTGAAAAAATTTAAATTATCTTTATAAATAATAAAATTCTTCTCCAAAATTCAATTATTTTCAAAAATTTTAATAACATTCTTGGCAAATATTCAATTATTTTCAAAAATGTTTTTCAATTCAATAATTTTAATATCATCTATTATTTTTATAAATATCAAAATTCTTAGCCGAAATTCAACAATTTCCAAAAATTTTAATAAACTTCTTTGTAAAATTAAATCATTTTCGTAAATAACAAATCAATATTCGTCACAAGAATTCAATTATTTTAAAAAATAATAAAATTCTACCTAAAGTCAATTATTTACAATCATTTTTTTAAAATTCTCGTCAAGATGTTCAATTATTTTTATAAATAATAAAAATCTTTTTCGAAATATAATAATTTCCAATAATTATAATAAACTTTTTGACAAACTTGCAATTATCTTTATAAATAACATAATTCTTTGCTAAAATTCAATTATTTTTAATAATTTAAAAAAAATTCTCATCAAGATTTTTAATTATTTTTATAAATTGCAAAATTCTATAATTTCCAATAATTATAAACTTTTTGACAAAATTTCAATTATCCTTATAAATAGCAAAATTCTTTGTCGAAATTCTATTATTTTCAATAATTTGTTAAACATTCTCGACAAGATTTTCAATTATTCTTATAAATGGCAAAAATCTTTTTCAAAATTTAATAATTTTCAACAATTATAAAATTTTCGACAGAATTTCAATTATCTTTATAAATAGCAAAATTCTTTGCAGAAATTCAATTATTCTCAGTAATTTTTGTAAAATTTCCGTCAAGATTTTCAATTATTTTTATAAATACCAAGATTCTTCGCCGAAATTCAATAATTTCCACTAATTTTAATAAAATTCATGACAAGAATTAAATTATTTTCATAAATAATAGAATACTTCCTATAAATTCAATTATTTTCAAAAAATTAAAAAAATTCTCGTCATGATTTTAAATTATCTTCATGAATTGCAAAATACTTTAATTGAATTTTTTAAAAAAATTATTTCAAGTTTTAATTTTTTACATATTTAATTGAAGGATTTCTGAATAATCGAAATTTCGTAAAATTGAATTGTAAACAAATGAATTTAAAAATTATCAAGGAACTTTTGCAATATTTATTAAAAATAATTGATAAGTATTTTATTTCGAACAATTATAATAAGGAATTTTTAAATAATTATTTTTCTCGAAGAATTTACTTAAAATTGAATTAAAAATAATTGAAATCCTGTGAATAATTGAATTCTCGCAACGAATGTTTATTACATTTTTTTTAAATAATTGAAATCCTGTGAAGATTTTTATTATTTATGAAAATAATTGAATTCTTGCAACTAATTTTATAACATTTCTTTTAAATAATTGAAATCCTGTGAAGATTTTTATTATTTATGAAAATAATTGAATTTTTGCAACAAATTTTATTAAATTTTTTTTTTAATTATTAAAATCCTGTGTAGAATATTATTAATTATGAAAATAATTGAATTCTTGCAACGAATTTTATTACATTTCTTTTAAATAATTGAAATACTGTGAAGATTTTTATTATTTATGAAAATAATTGATTTCTTGCAACGAATTTTTATAACTTTTTTTCATATAATTGAAATCCTCTTAAGGTTTTTATTATTTATGAAAATAATTGAATTCTTGCAATGAGTTTTATTACATTTTTTTTAAATAATTGAATTCTTTTGCAAATTTTAATTAAAATAGCAGATTTTGAAAATATTTGAATTTCAGCGAAGAATTTCATTATTTGTGAAATGTAATTGAATTCTTGCAAAAAAATGTACAATAAAAAAAATTCACAAATAAATGTAATAGAACATTTTTTTGAGTATCTAATCATTTTTAGAATGAATCAGAATATGCTTTAGTGTCAGGAAAAAAGTCAAAATTTTGTCTGGAAATCAGGGAAGAGTCAAGAAAAAACAAAATGAAATTTTTTGGCAACCCTGTAAAATTATTTTACAATTCGTATTCAATTCGTATTACTTTACAATTTACATTCACAATCGGAATATTTACAATTATAATAGAAAAACAAACATTAAAATAAAAGAAAATATTTTATGTAAATAAGTATTTTTCTAAAGTAAACTTTTAATTAAAAGTTAAAAGAATAGTATTATATTTATTGAGTAAACGTACTCAGATAAAAAAGGAAAATTGTGAATCTAAATGCAATTTATTTTTTCTTCTTCTTGAATTAAATAATGTATGAGCTTCTATTTTAAATGAAAGTGTCGGAAAATTTATTTCCCAGAAAGGATTTATTCTAGTTTTTAATTGCAGGATGTATACTGTTCAAAAGAATGTAATTAGAATGAAAAAGACGAAAAATTAAGTGTGAAGAAAGACTTGAACTTTTCCAATATCCAGTAAGTGGGAGAATTTCAATTTTTATCTCACGGAGTATTAAGTATACTATATAACAGAGTATTATTTCATATATTCAAATTTCAGATATCTTCAAGAAAAGAATCACTGGAGAAAAAAATATAAATTTATATTTTACTATCAAGTATCAATTAAAGAAATTCTTATCGAAAAGAGAAATTAAGGCCGCAATAATACGAAAATTAACAATTTGAAGGAAAATAACGATAATGGCTGATAATTGATAATAATGAAGGTATTTTTACAGTAATTCAGTTGTTTATCATTAACACTTTATGAAAAGAGCGTTTTAAAAAAGAAAATCGTGATTGTTTTCTTCATTGTGTTTTGTGTATACCCAGAACACTTGAAGGATTTCAATGAAAATAGTTGAGAGAAACAAAACAAAAATTAAATTTCTTTCTCCAATATTTTTCCGCAGAATATTTGAAAATGAAAAGAAAGTATTTCGTAAATTTATTATTTGCAGTAGAAAGCAAATTCAAATGTTTCTCTAAATTTGCAAAAGGTATTATTTTGTCAATATTTCAGACGTGATCTGTTTAAAGAAAATATCTTTTCTCTAAATGCACTTTATTATTTGTAAGGAAAAAAACACCTTCCACACCGTTATACACTTTTGAGTTTTCAGGTCACGATTTTCTTGCCTTTATGAAAAATTTTTCTAACTGAATTTTGGTAACGAAGTTACACAAGTTTTTCGAGAATCGTCTACAAGATAAAAGAACTTATATATAATTTTCAGATATGGGAGAGTTACTAACAAGAGTGGAAAAAGTTGCGGCTTATTTTAAAAAGAGAAAGAGAAAGAGAGATGACTGGAATCTGTTTAAGCTAATGAGATTCGGTGATTTGCCTCTAAATTCAAATCCCATGGTGTAAACTGATAAAGTCCAACGTCATCCCTTTCCAACAATTCTCGAGGAGCGTCCCCTATCCTGTTTCTCATTCGTAAAGCGTTTGGTGAAAGGTGGTGTTGAAAAGCATTCTAGTCGTTGGTTAAAATCTAATTTACACGCTTTTGACGTCAATCACATATTATAAATGTAAGTAAATTAATGTAATTTTTTTTAAGTATAAAGAACTAGCTGATAATAATTTTTAAGAGCATGGGAAGCAGACATTTTTCTGCGAAAATATCTGAAAAATATTAATTATTTATAATTTTAAATTAAAAGAAAAATAAAAATTTTAATTTAAATTAAAATCAAAATTTAAAAAATTCACTTATTAAGTACGAAATTAATTATTATTGTTTATATTTTCAAAAATTTTAATTGTAATTCTTCGCAAGAATTCAATTATTTTGATATAAATAATAACATTCTTCGGAAAAATTCAATTATTTTTATAAATAGTAAAATTTATTGCATAAATTCAATTCATTTTAAGAAAATTTTAATAAAATTTCACGAAAGTATTTAATTATTTTCTAAAATTTTCATAAATCCTTCTAAAGAATTCAATTATTTTTTAAAATAGTAAAATCTTTGCAAAAATTCAATTATTTTCAATAAAATTTCAAGAAAGTATTTAATTATTTTCTAAAATTTTAATAAATCCTTCTAAAGAATTCAATTATTTTTTAAAATAGTAAAATCTTTGCAAAAATTCAATTATTTTCAATAAAATTTCACGAAAGAATTAAATTTTTTTCTTATTTCGTTATAAAATTTTTCAAAAGAATTCAATTACTTTCAAAAATTTTAATAAATCCTTCGAAACAATTCAATTATTTTTATAAATAGTAAAACTTTTGGCAGAAATTCAATTATTTTCCAAAAAATTTTAATTGGATTCCTCGAAACAATTTAATTAATTTTTTGAAATAGAAAGATCTTTGCAATAATTCAATTATTTTATAAAATTTTTATAAATCCTTCGAAACAATTCAATTATTTTTATAAATAGTAAAACTTTTTGTATAAATTCAATTATTTTCCAAAATCTTAATAAATCCTTCGAAACAATTAAATTATTTGTATAAATAGTAAAATTCTTCGCAATAATTCAATTATTTTTATAAATAGTTCAATTATTTTTAATCCAATTTTAATAAAATTACACGAAAGAATTTAATTATTTTCAAAAATTTCCATAAAGTTCATTTATTTTCTAAAATTTTAATAAATTCTTGGAAACAATTTAATTATTTTTATAAATAGTAAAATTCTTCGTAAGAGTTAAATTATTTTTATTAATAATAAAATTCTTCTCAGGAATTCAATTATTTTCAATACAATTTTATTAAAATTCTTCTTTATATAAAATTCAATTGCTTTCAAAATTTTCAATTAAAATTATTAAAGAAACTCCATTATTTTAAAAAAGTTCAAAGAAATTCTTAAAAAGAATATTTAATTAGGATTGTTAACATTTTTAACAAAATTCTTCGCGAGAATTGAATTATTTTGCATAAATAAAAAAATTCTTCGAAGGCATTTATTGATCAGAATTAAAATTTTTAAATTGATTGAATTATTTTATTCTCTTATATATAAATCAGACAAAAAACTTTCCTATCGATTTCCAATGCCAGGGGAAAATTCAAAAGAATGTAAATAGTTTATAAACAATTAATTGACTTTTTTATGAGTTTAAACATCGTGTCTCGTCCTGAAAAATACAAATTCATTATGTACACTATAATAGAAACTTTTAAACTATGAAAAATTGAATAGTCTCGAATTTAAACTTTAATTGCTATATTTTTATTCACTTTTAATACATTTCAATTTCGCAAATTTAAAAAGTAATTTGTCTCATTATGTACTTTTTAGAGTTAATTTCAGGATATATTTTTTTAATTAAAAGGTATGTACAAAATTTTTTTAAAAAATATTTTAGTTTTAATATTTTATACTTGATTTTTAATACCATAATTTTAATTTTAATACTTAGTATTTTAATTTTAATCATTTTAATATTTAATACAAAATTTTACTTTTCATAAAAGTTATTTGCCAAGGAGCAAATGGGAAAATTAGTAAAGTGCTGACATCTGTGTTGAACTTCACCTAACCTGCAATTTCGTATAAATTCCTAAATAAAAGAATGTGCGGTCGACAGATATCAATTTAATCTGGTTTCAGTTAATTACTCTCTCAGTGAGTGATCGTTTACAACTAAAATTGACACAGCAGATTATCGCCAATAAGTAGCAATTAACTCTTTCCTTTTTTAATTTTATTTTAATTAACAAATCGAAACAAAATGAGCGTTGACGAGTGTAAAGCATTTACTTTTAAACTGTATGTCTTCAAAAATCAAAAGGAGGATGAAATTCGCAAATTTGGCCTAAAGACGAACGAACTTTCTTTTGAGAAAATGGAGGAAACGTTAAAGGAAATTTTCCCTTCGAACGAATCCAAATTTACTTTGCTATGGAAAGGTAAAATATTCTATTTATTTATTTCTTTATCCTCTACTCGATTTTTAGTTCCGATCTAAACTATTTTTTAAATTTGTATCTTAGATCAGGAAAACGATATGATAACATTATCAAGTTCAAGAGAATTCTCAACGTTCGTCGAAGACATTATGAAATCATCGGATGAGGAAGTAAAACTCTATCTTAATATTGAAAGCGAATTGTTTTCTATTTCGAAGAAATTTGAAAATTGTGATTTAAATCTTAACTACACTTGCAAAACTTGTAAGAAGACTATAATTCCAAAATGTCTGGATTGTATCAAGCAGAATTTACCACAAGAACGTAAAATACTGAATATTGTTGATAAGTCCTTGAGCAACATAAATCGAGCAGATGATAATAAGACTGAAGGAAAAACTGTAAATACCATCAATACATTGAGTACAGTGACACCGAATAATAGTCAAAAGATTCCTTTTTGTTTCGGCATTAATTCATCAGTAAATTTACCATCGAATTCTGAAAATAAAATCCCTATTGTTTTCGGCTCACCAGCAGGAACTTCTACAAATATGTTCAAATAAAGTGTTCAAGTTGAACTCACAATCAGTATTAAAAGTTAAAAGTATTATTCTTTTTTAAAATAAATTTACTAATTGTTAGAATAATTATTTTTCATACATAAACATTAAACTACGAAATCTCGACTGAAATATTATATTTATGACTCGAAGTTTATAAAAAATAATCGCAACGACGATATAAAGTAATAAAGTTTAATTTTTATAATACTTGTACTGAACAATAAAAATTATTTTTTAGAATATAAATTTGCAAACTTGATTTGTAAACGGTGTATTTTTTAATTTTTTTTAAATCTCCAACAGTTGAGATTCTAACCTTACCTGAGAAGTGAACAGGCGGTCAGTGTGAAAGCACTGATGTGTGAAAGGTGCTAAGTGCCGGTTGTTTATAAAGATACAAAGACTTTTAGTTAAAAACAAAGCAACAAAATGAGTTTGTGGGTTGATAAATACCGTCCTACGAGTCTTAATAAATTGGATTATCATACACAGCAAGCGGAGTACCTAAAAAACATGGTAATTACGTTTTTTCTTTATTCTTTTAATTTTGAGGTTAGGATAATACCCGCCAAAAACTTATTTACGTGTGGATTCTGTATTTTTTTAGACGTTTTAAATATTTTTTCTATACTAAAAGAATTATTTTTAGGTTCAAAAAGGCGATTTTCCGCATTTGCTTGTTTACGGACCACCGGGTGCTGGTAAAAAGACTCGAATAATGTGCATAATAAAGGAGCTCTATGGAAGCGGTATTGAGAGAGTTCGAACGGAAAATATGCAGTTTGAGGTGAATATAGAAAAAAAACTATTATTTGGATAGAAAGACTACTGTTTTGCTTCGGATTATAGTTTTTCTTTTTGATTGCAGACTCCGTCCAAGAAGAAACTTGAGATAATGACAATAAGCAGTAATTATCATATTGAAGTAAACCCGAGCGATGTGGGAATTTATGATCGAGTGGTGATAATGGACTTGGTTAAAACCACCGCTCAAACTCATCAAATTGATCCAACTGGCCAAAAGGAGTTTAAAGGTTCAGATTATTCAATATTTTCAGGGTGGCAATTTGTTAGTAAAATCAGGGAAATGCAACGAAAACAAAATTTTTATCAGTATAGTCAGGGAAGACTTAGTTTTTCAAAAATTGCGACTTTTTCAACTTTACTTCTAAATATTGCAACAAAAAACCACATTTTCTAGTACAGGGTTGCCACAAATATTTAATTTTATTTCTCCTTGATTTCCAGACAAAATTTTTAATTTTTATCTGACCCTAAAGAATATTCTGATTCACTCTAAAAATGATTAGACGCTCAAAGGAAATATTCTATTACATTTATTTGCGAATTTCTTTCATTCTAAAATTATTCAAAAAAATCAATAACTTCTTTTTAAAATAAATATTCAATCATTATTTTTTTTCTGTAGGAATTAAAATTCTTTAAAACATTCAAATTCAAACCTTTTTGAAATTCAACAACTGATAAGAATATTATTACAAAACATGAAGAAGGCGATCACTCCGAGTCTTCGACTCGGAGAGATCGCCTTCTTCATGTTTTGTAATAATTTAAATTACCATAAAATTTTTCAAAAAAAAGTTAATTATTTACAAAAATCCTAATAAAATCCTTCGCAAGAATTCAATTATTTTTACAAGTAGTAAAATTTCTCAAAAAAATTTAATTATTAAAAAAAAATGTAATAAAATTCGTTCCAAGAATTCAATTATTTTCATAAATAATAAATCGATTATTCGGTAATTCATTCTTAAATCAATATTTATTAGAAACTAGAAGAATTCAATTATTTAAATTAAAAAATAAATGATTTATTGAATAATTGAATGTTTGTTAAAATTGAATTCTCATAAAGAATTTTATCAGCAAATTTTTAAATAATTGAATTCTTTTGACTAATTTTAATCAAATTTTTATGAATAAATACATTTTTCGGGAAATTCGATTAAAATATTGTATCAAAAATAATTAACATCCTGCGATGAGTTTTATTAATTATGAAAATGATAAAAATTTTTCCCAAGAATTTTATTATTCTTAAAGATAATTGAAATTTTGACAAGAATTTTTAAAAAAATTTTGAACATAATTGAATTTTTGCGAAGAGTTTTTGTAACTTTTGGAAATAATTGAATTCCTGTGAAAAATTTATTGCTTATGAAAATAATTAAATTATTTCAAAAAAATTTATTAGAAATTTTGTAAATAATTGAATTCTTACAACGGATTTTATTCAAGTTTATAAAAATAATTCAATTCTTGAAAAGAACTTTGTCAAATTTTGTTTAAATAATTCAATTCTTGCGACGAATTTTATTAAAATATTTTTAAATAATTGATATTTTTCGAAAAATTTTATGAAATTTTGTATTTTTAATAATTCAATTCCTGTGAAAATTTTATTATTTATGAAAATAATTGAATTATTTCGAAGAAATTTATTACAAATTTTGTAAATAATTGAATTCCTAGGAAATTTTGCCAAGAATTTTATTATTTTTATTTCTATGAAGAATTTTATTATTTTTAAAGATAATTAAAATTTTGATGATAATTTTTAAAAAATTTTTGAACATAATTAAAATTCTGCAAAGAATTTTTATAACTTTTGTAAGTAATTGAATTTCTAGAATCATTTGTAACTTTTCCAAAATTCAATTTTTTTTAGTAGTTTTAACTAGAATTCTTCTATCAATCTAGTATTTATGAAAATTCTAAAAATTATTCATTAAATAATAATTTATAAGTCATAATTTCATGATAGTTCTTGAAAAATTAAGTTATTTAAAAAGAAATTATTGTCAGAAATAGAAAAAATTGAAGGTTTTGTCAGAGTTTTCTCATGAATTTTAAAAATTCAATTTTTTGATTTTTCCAGTACTTTTTTTACTAAAAAAAACCCTGATTTTTCCTTGATTTCCCTAACCAATTTTACTTTTCCTGACTTTTCCCTGACCTGCGGCAACCCTGTAGTATAAAATCCAATTTCGATTTTTATAGTGCGAAAAATAACTATAAACAAATCTTTCAAAAATTATTTTTGAATCACTTTTTTAAGATATAATTAAATTTTTCAAATCTTTCAGTAATAAAAATCTTTTTAAATTTAATTGAAATTTTCTAAAATTTAATTGAAAATAATTGATTTTTTCAAGTGTATTTTGTTATACAATTTTGAAAAATCAACTTTTGAAGAATTTTAATTGCAAATTTTAAAAGAACTTTTGAAAAATTATTTAAAATAATTGAATTCAGGTTGGGTTATAATTATAATTTTCAGAAATTATTAAATTTCATAAATTTTACTCATTATTCGTAAACTTCCATATTTTCTTGTAAAAAGAATTGTGTCAGGGGAAATAATTTCAATGGCAGTAAATTGTCAGGGAAGTTGATAAACTGAATATTTTGATCACCCTGATTTTTTAGAACTCTTTACAAACTCAGACACAATAAATATGTTAATCTTGAATTTTTCAGTCGTGTTACTAACAAACGTAGATCAACTGACAAAAGATGCCCAGCATGCTCTACGTCGAACAATGGAAAAATACATATCAACTTGTCGATTGATTCTCTGTGCAAATTCGACTTCGAGAGTTCTTCCAGCAATTAGATCTCGTTGCTTAGGAATTCGAGTGCCCGCGCCCACTGTACCTGAAGTGAAAAATATTCTCCACTCTATTATTAAACGTGAAGGGCTCAATTTACCTGATGAATTAGCAACCCGTTTAGCTGAAACGAGCGAGAGAAATTTACGAAGAGCGATATTGATGCTAGAAGCCTGCAAAGTTGAACAGTTAGTAAATTAATCTAAACTCTCATTTGTCTAATAGTCCAATTAGTCTAGTAGTCTAATTACTCCAATTTCCCCCATATAACTAACCTATATCCCTCGAATTTTCTTTTTACAGATATCCTCTTACGGCTGATCAAAAAATCACCGAACCTGACTGGCAAATTTACATTCGCCAAACTGCAAAGTTGATGATTACCGAACAAAGTCCTAAAAAATTGTTAGAAATTCGCAACAGACTTTACGAATTACTAACTCATTCTATTCCCTGTGATTTGATATTCAAAGGTCTATTGCAAGAGTGCATAAAGAATTGCGATCTACAATTAAAAATGGAAATAGCAACAGTTGCCGCTGAATACGAGCATCGAATGCATCGTGGATCAAAGGCAATTTTCCACTTGGAAGCATTCGTCGCAAGATTTATGAGTATTTATAAAAAATTCCTAGACTCCTCTCTCGAAGGTTTTGTCTAATATCAAGAAAACGACATTAAATTCTAGATAATCTCTCTTTTTATTTAATAAAACTGCTTAAATTTTGTAAGTGATATTTTTTAATAAATAACTTTATTCTATACGTTACAGAAAATTTAATATTTACCTTGTATTCTACTTAACGAATTTTATTAATTTTTTTGTTTTCTTTTTTAGTTTTTTTGTTTGTATTAACACTTATAGAATTGCAAGTGCCAAAGCTGCACCGATGGATAAGCCAGAAACTAAGTAACCAGTGGAGTAAACCTCTTTGAGCGATAGAAATTTGCCGAGATCCCAAGCCTGGAAGAATGAATGGATAATTAGCATCATCGAAGATTTTAAAGTGAAAAGAATAATTTTGTTTTTTTCTTACCAAATGACGTATTCCATTAGCGTAATGGTACGTGACAGGAAGGGCTAAAAGTGCTTTTCCCAGGATAAGAATAACTGAAGGAAGACACCAGTGTTCCACAATGCTAATGAGGCAAGGAATTCCGCCCGGAACTAGTAAGGTACCTAAAAGAATATTGTTTTTTATAGTTTTTCCCGTCAAAGTAATTTAAGTGTTTTTAATAATGTGTTCTTGTAAGCTATACTCTTTAGAATATAAACTCAAGTCTTCACGGTTGCCACAGGTCAGGGGAGTCAGGGAATTCAGGAAAAAGTCAGGAAATTTTAGTAAAAGAATTGTAAAAAATTGAATTTTTAAAATTCATGAGAATTATGACTTATAAAGTATTATTTAATGAATAATTTTTACAATTTTCATAAATACTAGATTTATAGAAGAATTTTAGTTAAAAATGCTAAAAAAAATTATTTACAAAATTTTTAATAAATTTTTTCGAAATAATTTAATTATTTTCATAAGTAATAAAATTTCCACAGGAATTCAATTATTTTAAATGCAAAATTTGATAAAATTTTTCGACAAATATCAATTATGAAAAAGACTTTTGTAAAATTCGTTGCAAGAATTCAATCATTTACAAAATTTTTAATAAACTTCTTCGAAATAATTCAATTATTTTCATAAGTAATAAAATCTTTACAGAAATCCAATTATTTAAAATACAAAATTTTATAAAATTTTTTGCAAGAATTCAATTATTATTTAAAAAAATTTAACAAAGTTCTTTTCAAGAATTCAATTATTTTTATAAACTTAAGTAAAATTAAAATAAAATTAAATAAAATTATCTGAGGATGCCTGGCGTCGACGGGCGAAAGCTAATAAATAATTATAAAATTATATGAATGGATTTTTTCAAAAAAAACAAAATAAGATCTCACTTAAATAAAATTCGTTGCAAGAATTCAATTATTTATATAAATAATACAATTCTTCACAGAAATTCAGTTATTTTTATAAACATGAATAAAATTTTTGGCAAAATTTCACAGGAATTCAATTATTTACAAAAATTTTAATAATTTTTTTCGAAATAAAAAAAAAATTCTACAGGAATTCAATTATTTTAAATACAAAATTTGATAAAATTTTTCGAAAAATATCAATTATTTAAAAATATTTATTATAAAATTCGTCGCAAGAATTCAATTATTTAAAAAAAATTTTTAAAAGTTCTTTTCAAGAATTCAATTATTTTTATAAACTTGAATAAAATTCGTTGCAAGAATTCAATTATTTATATAAATAATAAAATTCTTCACAGAATTTCAATTATTTTTAGAAACTTGAATAAAATTCGAATGGGAAGAATTCAATTATTTTCAAAAGTAATAAAATTCTTCGCAGAAATTCAATTATGTTGAAAATTTTTTTAAAAATTCTTGTCAAAATTTCAAGTATCTTTAGAAATAATAAAATTCTTCTCCGAAATTCAATTATTTTAGAAAAATTTTAATAAAATTCTTGGGAAAATTTTAATTATTTTCATAAATAATAAAACTCATCGCAGGATTTTAATGATTTTTGATACAGTATTTTAATCGAATTCCTCGAAAAATGTAATTATTCTTAAAAATTTTTATTAAAATTCGTCAAAAGAATTCAATTATTTAAAAATTTGTTGATAAAATTCTTTAATGATAATTCAATTTTAACAAACATTCAAATATTTAATAAATTATTTATTTTTTAATTTAAATAATTGAATTCTTCTAGAGTTTTCTGATAAAAATTGATTTAAAAATGTATTACCGAATAATCGATTTATTATTTATGAAAATAATTGAATTCTTGCAAAGAATTTTATTAGGATTTTTGTAAATAATTAACTTTTGTTGAAAAATGTTATGGTAATTTAAATTATTACAAAAAGGTTTAAATTTGAATGTTTTGAAGAATTTTAATTCCTACGGCACAATAATAATAATTAAATATTTATTTAAAAAAGAAGTTATTGATGTTTTTGGATAATTTTACAATTTAACGTAAATAAATGTAATAGAACATTTTTTTGAATATCTAATAATTTTTATTTTTTAGAGTGAATCAGAATATTCTTTAGGGTCAGGGAAAAAGTGACAATTTCGTCTGGAAATCAGGGAAAAATTAAATTAAATATTTGTGGCAACCCCGGTCTTTCTCTAAGAGAAGGCAAAACGTAATTTTTGTTAATTATAATACGTACCGAATCCTAGAGCCATTGCATAAGATGCTAAAATAATTCCCGTTGTACGATGCGTTAATGAAAGCATTGTTGTCAATTGCGGTTGATAAATAGTCAAATGAGGCGACATTGGTCGTTTAAGTCGCATATTCCGTTCATCGTGAGATTCGACAGTAGTCGAACACGTAGCACGTGTTGCAGCGGTTTTCGAAAGTGCCAGTGGGCTAAAAAAATACTCAATTACAGAAAAGCAAGTTTGCAGAAATACAGTTTGTTCGCTAAAAAAAACCATTCAAAAGTACATAAAAAACCGAATAGCTAACATTTTTTTCATCTCTATTTTTCCTCAGTTTAAAGCCGGTAATTTATATACATAAATATAGACATAAATAATCCCAAGATATAACAAATACAAAATATTATGTAACTTACCAAGAAGTGTACAATCCACGAAATTGACGAAACTCCAAATTTTGACGACACAAAAGCCTGGAATTAATAATAAACATTTAAAAATGAATTATTTTGATAAATATCGACAAAATACGGGTTTGAAAATTAAAAAAAATAATTACCTGGTAAAGCTCAGTGCCATTGTGATGTTTTATAATAAAATTTTCTCTTGTAAGACAACTAAAGTTACTGAAAATAGATAAATATTGTATTATCAAATATTTTCTTACGTTTGTTTATTGGCAAACGTTAAATGATATTTTTTAAATTCAGTCATCAAATTTATTTTTAATATTATGAAACTTACGTCAAAAATCTTGAAGAAAAACATGCAAATTTGCAATATACACAACAAGCAACTAGCAGACTACAAGGAGACTATTACAATCAGCGCCCCTAGTGTTGAAAAAATGAAAAAATTTAAATCCTCAAACTATTTATTTCCTAAAACTTTTTTTTAAAAAGTCTTGATGATTAATTTCATGCATTTCATGATTTCTATCATTTATTATAAAAAAGGTAATTAAATGAAAGCGTTTGCAAAATAGTTATTCTTTTATTTAAAAGTTATTAAGAAGGTAAAAGAGAGAAATATTTTGCGAATTTATCGGGCATTTAGGCGCATGCGCGTTTGTACATAACTTTCTAACCTAACTTTTTAAACCGTTTAAAAGGAAAAGGCAACGAAAGAGAACAAAGAAAATTATTGTTTTTTAATGTTTTACTACTAAGTATTGTGTTTAAAAGTGTAATTGTGTTTCATAAACTGGTTTCAAGGTTTATATTTTGTTGAAACTATAGAAATAACTGTATTTGTAGGATACATGCACGATAATTTCGATAATATTTAGCATGGTGTTCACTGTTCAGTACGTTGGAGATGTTCATAACGTTCAGTCGGTTCAGTGTTATGATATCGAATTTTATTATATGAAGATAAATGTTTCTACTACTGCTACTTAATTAATCGTAAAGTGTGAAAAATGACGATTATAGACTACTTTCAATCATTATCAGACAATCCGTACTTTGGTGCTGGATTTGGATTAGTCGGCCTTGGTGCCGGTGCGGCTATATTGCGAAAAGGCGCACTTGTAGGTACTACACTTTTTAGGTAAACATATATCAATTTTTGTATTAAATATTTAAATTTTACCTTTTTTTAAGACTTTTGGATCTTTTCTTTAGATCGTTGACACTGCATCCCAGTGGTTGGCATCGTTCTAATAACAAGAAATATACCAAAAAACTAGCATGTTTTGCATTCGATTATTAAATTTTGCAGCATTTACTACAAAAATCGACTATTAACATTTTCTTGTTATTTAAAAAAAAGAAGGGTGCCAACGACTAAAGCAGTTTTTCCTATATAAATCAGGAAAATTACAGAAAAAAAATTTTTTGTCATGAAAATGAAGGAAATTGAGACTTTTTTCGACTTATTTTCAAAAATTGCAACTTTTTCAACTTTTTTTCCAAATATTGCAACAAAATACCACATTTTTTTTAGTATAAAATGCAACTTTATCGATATTTAAAGTGCGAAAAATAACTGTAAACAAATCTTTCAACAATTATTTTTTAATCACTTTTTTAAGATATAATTAAATTTTTCAAATCTTTCAGTAATAAAAATCATTTTGAATAATTGAAATTTTCTAATATATAATTGAAAATAATTAAGTTTGTTACAATTTTGGAAAATCAACTTTTGAAGTATTTTAATTACAAATTTTGAAAATAATTGAATTATCAAAAATGTTAATGAAAAATCTTTAAATTTAAAAATGAAAATTAATGACAATTAGCTTCTAATTTTTTAAAATTCAAAATTTTCAATATTTTCAATTACATATTTCCGAAAATTCAAATACCTACACACAAAAAATAATATTTTAGAATTATTTTTAACATTTTGGAGAAAAAATCATGTTAACAATTTTTAATTAAAATTCATCAAGAAATTAATTAGTTTTTTTAAATTATACAAAAATTCTGTTAAGAAATTCAATTATTTTTAAAATATTACATTAAAATATTCTTAAAGACTAATTCTTAGAATTCTTTTATCAAAATTTTTTGACTCAATTATCTTTGAACAAAGTGAATAAAAATTTATAAAAATTTACTTTTTCAGACTTATTAAAAAATTATTAATATTTATAATTAAAATTCTTTGAAAATTTGATTATTTTTATTTATATTTATCGAAAATTCAATCATTTTTAAAAAATGTTACCAAATTTAAATTGTTTGGAAATTTTTTGTTGGGAAAATAATTTTAATATCAGAATATTGTCAGGGAAATTGATAAACTGAAAATTGTGACCACCCTGATTAAATAGAAAAAGAAATAGAACGTTTTGTAATTATTATACTTTAGAGACTTAAAGTTAACATTTTTTCAGACGTCATTACATGATAACACTCGAAGTACCATGTCGTGACAAGAGTTATCAATGGTTATTGCAGTGGATCACTTACAAGGGTGCAAAGAAAACGCAGCATCTTTCAGTGGAAACAACTTTTGAACAAAAGGAAACTGGAGATGTAAAAACTAAATATGCTTTTATACCGAGTGTTGGAACTCACTTCTTCAGGTCAGTCGAATAAACTAAAGTTTCTAAACTGAACGAAATCTTTCTTTTATGACTCGAATATTTATTTCTATTTTCCATGAAACAGGTATAAAAACAAATGGATTAAAGTTGACAGAACACGAGAACAACAAACTCTTGATCTACACATGGGACTTCCGTTTGAAACTGTACAACTCACATCTTTTGGAACAGATAAAAATCTGTATTTTAATATCCTTGAAGAAGGTAAATCTCTATTTTTTAACTCTATATTTTAATCCTCTTTTTTTTAAAACACTTTACTAGCGGAAAGATTTGATGGCCAAATTTTTTGTTATCGGTAATTCAAGGGTTAAAATCGTTGAAGAAAGTTAGAATTGTTTATTACAATCGAATCAGGTGTAAAAATACAATTGAATCAATTTTAATTTTTAAAGTTAATTCTGTTTTGATTTTCAGCCAGATGCATGGCTTTAAAGGAACACGAAGGAAAAACTATAATGTACACTGCAATGGGAAGTGATTGGAGACAATTTGGACATCCCAGAAAACGAAGGCCGTTGCAGTCAGTTATTCTCGACACCGGTATTGCTGATAGACTGCTAACCGATTGTCGAGAATTCATAAAACATCCCGAATGGTACGGTGATAGAGGTAAGAAATAATTTTACGCATTTTACTAATTTTTTCCTATTTGAATCGGGTTTCTTGAAGTTAGCAACGACGCTGAACATCGAATTGAATTTTTTTTGTTTCTCAGTTTATTATTTTACGAAAAGAAAACACGATCGCCAGCAACTTCATGACAATACTCATTTGTTTTTCCGCTAAACCGCTATCGTCTTTTCTTTCCGTAAAATAATTTTTCGTAAATTGATAAACTACTTTTTTACGAAATCGAGAAAAGGGTTTCAAAGATTTTAGGCTAAAAGAATGACCTGATTTTCTAATTTCCAAATTGAATGAAAAAAGTATAATTAGTCATTTTTAATTTGTGTAATTTTCATCTTTAAAAAATCTAGATATTGTTGTCGCTAACTTCAGGGATATTTTGAATCGAATTCTTTTTGAATTGTGACTAATTTTCTATTTTTTCGTACAGGAATTCCATACCGAAGGGGATACTTGCTCCATGGTCCGCCTGGATGTGGAAAATCATCATTTATCACTGCTCTGGCTGGAGAACTAGAACGTGCCATTTGTGTATTAAATTTGTCAGAGCGCAGTTTAACGGATGACAGATTAAATCATTTGTTAGCTGTTGCTCCACAGCAGAGTATCATTTTATTGGAAGATATCGATGCCGCTTTCGTCAGCAGAGAAGAATCTTCAAAAGGTATGCTTACGATTTTTACTAACTTATAATTCGTGTCCAGAAGAAAGGGAATAACAATTTTAAGTTATGTTTGTAATTTTTTGAACGAAAATACAAAAAGGGGATTAATTCTCAATATAAACTATTAATTTCTAAGTCTTTATTACATATGAAATATTTAATTAAAACTGATTTTACTGTTAGGCAATTAAGCAGAATAGTTAAATTAAGGCAAAAATGATACAAACATAACTTTAAAATGATTTCAGAGTTGCCACAAGTCAGGGAAATCAAGAAATTCGGTTTTTCGAATTTTTGATAATTTTCATTAATTTTAAATTTTTAACCAAAGGGTGGAGACAATTTAATAAGTAAAGTGTTTTTAAAGAGCCCAAAAATATTGAAGCTAAATGCCATAAAATAGAAGAAAAAATGTTGAATTTTAAGAAATTCGGATTTTCGAATTTTTGATAATTTTCGATAATTTTAGATTTTTTACCAAAGAGTCGAGACTATTAACTAAGTAAAGTATTTTTCAAAAGCACAAAAATAATAAAGCTAAATGCCATAAAAAAGAAGGAAAATAGTTGAATTTTAAGAAATTCGGTTTTTCGAATTTTTGATAAATTTCGATAATTTTAGATTTTTTACCAAAGAATCGAGACTATTAAATAAGTAAAGTATTTTTCAAGAGCACAAAAATAATGAAGCTAAATGCCATAAAAAAGAAGAAAAAATGTTGAATTTTAAGAAATTCGGATTTTCGAATTTTTGATAATTTTATATTTTTTGCTAAAGGTTGGAGACAATTAAATAAGTAAAGTATTTTTCAAGAGCACAAAAATAATGAAGCTGAATGCCATAAAAAAGAAGGAAAAATGTTGAATTTTAAGAAATTCAGGTTTTTGAATTTTTGATAATTTTCGATAATTTTAGATTTTTTACCAAAGAATCGAGACTATTAAATAAGTAAAGTATTTTTCAAGAGCACAAAAATAATGAAGCTAAATGCCATAAAAAAGAAGGAAATATGTTGAATTTTAGGAAATTCAGGTTTTTGAATTTTTGATAATTTTCGATAATTTTAGATTTTTTATCAAAGAGTCGAGACTATTAACTAAGTAATGTATTTTTCAAGAGCACAAAAATAATGAAGCTAAATGCCATAAAAAAGAAGGAAATATGTTGAATTTTAAGAAATTCGGTTTTTCGAATTTTTGATAATTTTCGATAATTTTAGATTTTTTACCAAAGAGTCGAGACTATTAAATAAGTAAAGTATTTTCCAAGAGCACAAAAATAATGAAGCTAAATGCCATAAAAAAGAAGGAAATATGTTGAATTTTAAGAAATTCAGGTTTTTGAATTTTTGATAATTTTCGATAATTTTAGATTTTTTACCAAAGAGTCGAGACTATTAACTAAGTAAAGTATTTTTCAAGAGCACAAAAATAATGAAGCTAAATGCCATAAAAAAAGAAGGAAAAATGTTGAATTTTAAGAAATTCGGTTTTTCGAGTTTTTGATAATTTTCAATAATTTTAAATTTTTAACCAAAGGGTGGAGACTATTAAATAAGTAAAGTGTTTTTGATGAGCCCAAAAATAATGAAACTAAATGCCATAAAAGAGAAGAAAAAATATTGAATTTTAAGAAATTCGGATTTTCGAATTTTTGATAATTTTAGATTTTTTAACACAGGGTAAAATTCCTACAGAATCTGGAAATCATGGAAATGGTATGTGATTTTTAAAAGGCTTCTGGAAATCAGGAAAATCATGGAAAAGACCTAGAATTTTTAAAAGTTTCTAATTTTTTCCTGTTTTCCATGTTTTCTCTTCAATAGAAATTCAATTAGAAATTTTAAGATATAATATATATTATAAGACGTGTAAATTAAATTTAAAATTCTACTGGAATTTTCTAAAAATTTGACCTAGAAATCATGGAAATGGTATGGAATTTTAATTTCGGATTTCTGTAGGAACCCTGAATATTCTTATAATAAAATAATGATTTTGTTACACGGTCATCTTTAATTATGATAAAACAGAAAGAAATGGAGCACTCCGAGTCGAAGACTCGGAGTGATCGATTTCTTTATGTTTTATAATAATATTCTTATGAGTTGTTTAATTTAAAATAATAATAATATTCTTTTGAGTTGTTCAATTTGAAAAGGTTTGAATTTGAAATTTTTTAACATCCTAATTCCAATGAAAAAATATTGATTAAATATTTATTTAAAAATAAAGTTATTTATTTAATTATTATAATGTTTTCGAATAATTTTACTTTAAAAAAAATTGTAAATAAATTTAATAGAGCATTCTTTTGAGTATCTAATCATTTTGAGAGTGAATCAGAATATTCTTTAGGATCAAGGAAAAGTCGGAGAAAAATAAAGTTACATTTTTTGTGGCAACCCTGGATTTCCTTCTTCGGGACACGTTAGATATAATTCATAATTGTTATTCTGACAGTTGTCAAAGACCAAAGTTATTTAAGAAAAAAAGAAAATAGTTCATAATATAATTATAATTAATTTCGAAAAAAAATTTATTTTACAGTAAAGGCAGCTTATGATGGACTGAATAGAGTCACTTTCAGTGGTTTATTAAATTGTCTCGATGGAGTGGCTTCCACAGAGGCACGAATTCTATTCATGACAACCAATTATTTGGAAAGATTGGATCCCGCTCTTGTAAGACCCGGAAGAGTTGACGTCAAGGAGTATATAGGTATGAAGTTTATCTTTTTTTTATGAGAAAATTCGATTTGTTTTTAACACGAAAGATTCGGTTTTAATGAAAAACACGAAAATTAAACGAATTTCCTCTTTTTCAGGTTGGTGCACATTTGAGCAAGTTGAGCAAATGTTTCTCAAGTTTTATAAAGAGGCACCTCAGGAAATGGCCAAAGAATTTGCAGATAAAGTAATGTTGCAAAAGGCAACTGTCAGTCCAGCTCAAATACAAGGATTTTTCATGTTCCACAAAAACGATCCAGGAAAAGTAATTGACAACGTTTCGCAAATGTGGGATCTTACGTAAAGGTGATTTTTAAATTATATTTATTTTATTCAACCTATTTCAAAAATAGGTTGTCTTAATATTCTTTTATTCTCAACACATAAGAAACTATTATTTTTGAAAATTTTAATTTTCAATTTTATTTTGAAAATTTTATTAAGAGAGAGAGAGTGATAAATTTCTTAAATTTTGAAAGTCGAAAAGAAATTGAAATTCTTTTTCGAATGAAAAAGAAAAAAAACAAGGTGATGAAAATAAAAAAAACAATGATAGGGGTTTTTGAAGAAATGACAAAAATTGTTTATAGCTACATTTTTTAATACGAAAATTGAATGGATAAAGAATGGACTTATAATTAAGTTTCTATACATTTTGCTTTTTCTCATCACAATTCTTTGAATACATTTCTCAGCCTTTTTATCTGTTTTTTTTAAAGATATTGAACTAATTTAGAAACATGCGTTTATAAACTTAATTGGTGTCTTAAATTTTACTTTGACATATTTCAGTGGCAATTATTATACTTATTAAAAATGCGAATCAGTTTAATTAATTAAATCAATTATCTGAATTCCTTTCCAATGTGATAAATTCATGGCCTTACTTTACAAGTACATGGCTTAAAATTCATCATTAAAATAAATATAAAAACTCTTTAAATAAATTTGACGCGCTCTGAATAGAGTTACCTTAGAAAAGTTTATAAATATTTGACACATTTTGACAGGAATGGAAAATTTCTTTTTTTTGCGTACAAAATTAAAAATTAATTTTTAATTAAATAGGAGTGTCAAAAACATAATATATATTTTTTGGCATCTAAAAGAACTTGTTTTCAAAGCGCGTCACAAATTAAAACTGTCGATATTGTCAGTACCGAGAGACTTATCACGGTTTTTTGCATTATTACGAGACGACAAAATTTTATAAAAGTTTTATTTAAGTATAAATTTATAAATAGATTTACGCCAACTTAATTTTCTATAACCAATAAAGAGATCACGTTTCCAGATTTAATTCTCCGGAAGTATTCATTGAAACATGAATGGTCTTTTAGATTTCTTTTTTTTCTATAATACTCCGAAAGGGAGTAAAGAGAACTTTTTTTCGACTTAAAACTTTCTCTGAGAGAAAAAAGATATTTTCTGTGTAAAAATTTCAATTTATATTTTAATATTTCATTAATATTTCATTAATATTTTCAATATTTCTTTGGATAGGGAGAATGCATTTGTTTTTAATTTATAATTTTCTCCAAATTTCTCGAATGTAAACGCAGTTGTATTAAAACAGGGAAACGTAGTCTCAATAGTGGCGATGATATGGTAGAGACTTTACTTAGAGTAAAATTTTTAGAAGGTCCAAATATAGGGTTCGTAATTTAGTGGATCAGTTTGTTCCATGTGACTCGTTTGATTGTTGTTAGTAACCATACACGAGGGATAGGCTATACTGTTCGGTTGACTGGAAACAGGTGCTTCCACTGTTGGCACTAATCTACAATCAGGTCTCTGTTGCATTATAGGTCCCATTGGTTGCATAGGTGTTGGACACGGAGGAGATACTTGTTGATCAGTAGGCATTGGCTGTGAATGCTGAAGTGTAGGAGGCGAGGATAGAGTGTGTAATGGTTGCATTATTGAGGGTGCCGGAACGTAAGGTACCACTGAAAAGTGGAGAAATGTCAATTAATATATGCAAATTAGTTAATCTGCTGTCTAAAGTAAAAACCTAGTAAACTCAATTTTCTGGTTTTTACTTTGGACAGCAGTAATATAATTAATATAATTAGTTAGTACATTGGTTAATATACAATAAACAAATAAAATTTGTTTTACGTAAATGTTGCTTTTTCCAATAAAATTAAGAAAGAATACGTACTTGTATTTTGACTCTGAAATTGCACATTATTTTGTTCCGGGAGCATATTAGGTGGTGGTAACGTCGGTGGTGGTACATTTTTCTGTTGCATATTGCCCGCTTTCTTTTTCTTCGTTCCTCGCTTCTGTGGATCGTCATGTGTTTGATCTCGTTTTTTGTTTGATGAGGACTTCTTTTTCTTGTCGCTAAGAATTTTTGGTTTATTAGGACGGTTCCCGCTAGGTTGCCAGAGGTGAACAGTATGAACCGCATTGCCTTCACTAAAAAAAATCCAGTAAATAGAATATTTCTTTGTTTTCTGGGGAAATTCGATTTATTGCACTTTTGGTTGCACTTTATGTTTGTAAATAAATAGAATGTGTGACGTGAGATTTAGAATAATAATATTAATACAAACCCTTGTTTTTTTCCTAGTTTCCAACTATGAATTCCAGCTTTGTGAAGTCTTTCTCTAATCGTGTCAACACTGCACTTTAGTCCTAGAGCTGGTGCAACGTACTTTGCAGCTGTCAACGGATGTTGCGTTGCCATTGCAATTATTGCTTCGTCTTCTTCTTTAGTTGTTATTCTTCTCCTTCCTTTTCTTTCTTTTGTTTGAACATTTCCCTCTTTATGCCATCGTTCCAACCACCTCTTAACTGTCCGTTCCTGCAAAATAAATTCGGTATAATAATCACAGACGTAACATTTGGAATTTTCGTTTTTTTATAAAACGAAATTTTCAGGAATAAGTTAATAATTTATTAACTTATTTCTGAATATTACCACAGGCCACGGAAATCAGGAAAAAGTCAAGGATTTTTATTAAAAGTAAATTCATAACAAAATTCTGAATTTTAGTGTCTTTTTTGGCGCCTCAAAATCTATGAAATTACCATGAATTCGTATACAAAAACTTCAATTTTTCTATTTCTGGCAATAATTTTCTTGTTAAATAACTTAATTCTTGAAAAAACTATCATAAAATAATTACTTATAAATTAATTAATTAATAAAAAATTGATTAATAATTTTACTTAAATATTTTAAAATTAATTGAATTTTATAAGAGTTGCGTTTACAAGTTCCATAAGTTGATGAACTTCAAAAGATTTTAATATAATATAATATAATAATAGAAGAATTTTAGATAAAAGCACTAAAAAGAAATTGAATTTTGGGAAGTTACAAATTATTGCAGAAATTCAATTATTTCCAAGAGTTATTCTTCAAGAGTTATTCTTCGCAAAAATTAAATATTGTTCAAAAATAATAAAATTCTTCTTAGAAATTTTCAATTATTTTCACAAATAATAAAAATCATCGCAGAATTTCGATTATTTTTCATACTCTTCTCTGAAATTCAATTATTTTCGAAAATTTTTATGAAATTCTTGACAAAATTTCAATTATTTTCAAAAATTTCCCTCAATCAATGATTTTTCAATTAAAAATTTTCTAAAATTTCAAATTAAAATCTCAATTCAATGATTTTCAATATCTACTATTCTAGTAAAATTTTCTAAAAGAATTCAATTATTTAAAACAAATTTTAATAAAATTCCACGCAAATATTTAATTATTTTCATAAATAATAAAATTCTTTTTAGGAATTCAAATATTTTCACAAATAATAAAACTCGTCGCATCATTTCAATTATTTTTTAAATAATTTTAATCATTCTATTCAATTACTCAATAAATTGTTTATTTTTGTTTTTAAATAATTGAATTCTCGTAGAGTTTTCTAAAAAAAATTTATTTAAAGATTAATTTCAGTTAAAAACACTTTAAAAAATTGAATTTTGGAGAAGTTACAAATGTGTATAGAAATTCAATTATTTCCAAAAGTTATAAAAACTCTTCGCAGAAATTCAATTATATTCAAAAATTTTTTAAAAATTCTCGTCAAAATTTCAATTATCTGATAAAATTCTTCTATTCGAAATTCAATTATTTTTAAAAACTTTAATAAAATTCTTGGCAAAATTTCACAGGAATTCAATTATTTAAAATACAAAATTTTTAAAAAATTTTTGAAGAATACTAATTATTTAAAAAGATTTTTATAAAATTCTTCGCAGAAATTCAATTATTTAAAAATTTTTTATAAATTTTTTTCACTAATTCAATTATTTTTTATAAATAATAAAATATTTTTTAGTATTTTAATTATTTTCATAAATAATAAAACTCATCGTAGCAATTTCAATTATTTTTAATACAATTTTAATCGAATTCCTCGAAAAATGTAATTATTCTCAAAAATTTTAAATTGAATTTTGTCAAAAGAATTTAATTATTTAAAAATTTATTGATAAAATTCTTTAGGAGAATTCAATTTTGAGAAAGATTCAATTGTTATTTAATAAATTATTTATTTTTGTATTTAAATAATTGAATTCTCATTGAATTTTCTAGAATTTTTCTAGAATTTTTAGAAATAATTGAACTTTGAAAAGTTTCTAAATTTGTAATTTTTATTATAAAATATGAAGATATTGATTGCTCCGAGTCGAAGACTCGGAGTGATCGATATCTTCATGTTTTGATAATAATATTCTTATAAATTGTTGAATTTTAAAAAGGTTAGGTTAGAGTTGAAATTTTTGAAAATCTCAATTATAAGAAAGGAATATTCAAGAACTAGTTAATAGAGAGTAAGAAAAAAATATTCAGGAATAAGTTAATAAAGAATAAGAAAATAAATATTCAGGTCTTAACAATATTAACAAATAAAAAGCAATAACTTACAGATCTATTGATAGCCAAAGCAATAGACAATGTCGAAAGTCCTGCTTCTGACATTCCTATCATTCGATTACGAATTTCAACGCTAGTTTCTAGAGTTCCTTTGACTTTTCCGCCCTTCTTTTTTCGATCATTGCGTGAACCTTCATCATTATTATCAGACTCTCTCTCAGAACTATTGTTATCATTCAATATTTGATTGTCATCAGAATTAAGCGAATTTGAACAACTCTTTGAAATATCTTGCGAAGAGGCTAAACAAGATTGGCTCAGTCGTTGCGATTGCCGAACTTGTTGGTTCATTTGATGCGATTGATGTTCTATACTGTGATGGTGCGAGTGCATATTTTGCTCTTCCATTTGCGTGCAGATTTGCCGATCAGCTTCTTGTTGATTAGGTTGCGAGTGAAGTTCCTGATGTGAATGCATATGCTGTAAATGCTGATTGTTCTGAACACCGTTCGATTGGTCCTGTGTAATAAGAAATTGATTTGTGAAAATTTAATTAATGTTTAATAATTTATAATTTTTGTTTTAATAAAATTTGCAATTTCGTTCGAGAATTGTTTTAACAAAATTTACAATTTCGTTTGACAATTGTTTTTACAAACAATTTCGTTCGACAATTGTTTTAACAAACAATTTGGTTTGACAATAATTGTTTTAGAAACTTTACAAATTTTGTTCAATTACAGAATTAACATGAAACTGAAGTTACCAACGTTGAGTCGATGTTAAAAAAATTTTTTGTCTTTCCCTCCAGGAAGCAAAATTTTTTGTATCGAGGCGGAGAAAACATTAATTAGTGAAAAGAATTTTTATTTACTCTCATCGACGCCGTTGGTATTTTTAGTTTTCTGAATGAAAAAATGTGATAAACTGTCACCTGTGTGTAATGATGACTGCTTTGGACCAGATCTAGGGGCCAATTTTGATGATGATAAACAGGTTGAGGTTGTTGCGCGAGATCTAGATGATTGGCAAATATCACTTGGGTTGGTTGTAATGATTGTGAAGGTATTTCATTGTTTGGTTGTTGATGAACATTTTCCTGAGGATAGGTAAAATTTTGTTGTTGTTGCTGTTGCTGCTGCTGCTGAACAACCGTAGGTTTTAGAGACTCCGCCGGTGCACCGTCGCCAATGAAAATATCTTTTGATCTTCCTTTGCGAGGCGTTACTTTTTTTTTATTAGTTGCACTTTTTTTACTCTTATTCGTATCTTTTGGATTTTTTTTCTTTCCAAGTTGCGTTCCAGTGGGTCGCCAGACAGCTTGCTGAATTGATGATCCATCGACGTCATTGCTGCGAAGAAAATAAAATGAATTTTCCTCTTTTCTTATTTAAATAGTTGTATTGAAGATTGTAATCATGTTAATATTATCATTATCAATATTATTAATGTTATTAATGTTATTAATGTTATAAATGATTTTAGATTTTGAATTTAAAAATTTAGTGGTTAATAAGGTAAAACTAACCCTAGGGGGATTTTTTGCATGTGCTTACGACACGGACTCCAATTATGGATTCCAGCTTTATGCAATCTTTCTCTTACAGTGTCAACGGAACACGAGAGTCCCAAGGCTGGAAGTACAGCTTTTGCGGCTGTTATTGTTGTCTGGGTTGCGAGGCGAACAATAGCCTCATCCTGTTCTGATGTAGTGGCTCTTTTACGACCGCAACGATCCCTTGTCTCGACTGTTCCCTCTTTGTCGAATCGGTTTAGCCACCTTTTCACCGTCCTTTGCTGAAATTTCCAACTTTTATTACATTTATTCAAAACAAAATTATTCCTAACGTTAGAAAAATATATTTTGATAAAATTTTCTAAAAGCTAACTTTACTATTTTCTTCGAAAAATAAATTAATGTACTCCTTACAGAACAATTAATTGCTGCTGCTATTTCCCTTAGGCCCAGACCAGCTTCATACATTCCCACCATCCGATTTCTTAATTCCGGAGTAGTTTCATGTACACCTCTAGTTTTTCCCATTTTTTTTTTTTTTTTAAAGAGAAAAACAAAATCTAAAAATACTAAATCATATAGTTTTCAGTTTGAATTAGTCGGCTCGTGTGACGTTTTCAAAAAAACAGAACCACGTGACAAAAGAAACATCTCTAATGTTCTATGTTTCGCTGTCGAAAATGTTCCATCTTAATTTTACTCCGGTTTTCTTGAAACAATAAACGAGTTTTCTTTTGAAATTATTATTTCCTTTAGTCAATGTCACGAAAGTCAGGAAGAAGAATTTATTTCGCCAGTGTTTCTAAGCAGTAATTTCTTTTTTTATTACAAAACATTGACAATTGGCACAACTCCGCCTGTTGTAATGACGCTGATTGCACTCGCATTGGTCGTCAAAACACAAGCAACTCTTTGATTCCTCATTCATAATGTTACTTTTCGTTTATTTTTATCCAAAATACTGTTGGAGCATTTAGTTTATGTTGATTTATTGAAAAAAATTTCGAAGAAGCACTTAAAATCGAGTAAAATAGAACCAGACGAAGAATACACTGCAGTCAATACAAGTCCAGCAACTGTACAGTCTGTGTGAGAAGTTAAGCGCTGGGTACAGTCCCATCATTCTAATCTTAATTTTCAATTTTTCTATTTTTTAAATTAAAACAAAACAAAAAAGTACTTTGATTGTAGTTTTCATAACTATAGTTTTATTAAAATTATTTACACTTGCCGAATATTGTAAACAATTTCTGAAAAATTAATCAAAAATGAAAAAAAGTATTTGAAACAAGAATTCGTAAAATTAATAAATTAGTTAATAAATGAAACAGAATATTAGATAGGTATTATTACATATTTCTAATAATTCATATTATTAATAACAAATTCACTAAAAAAGGGGGTAAAGAGATTCATACACACGTATAGTACGTAAAAATTTTACGTTTTACCTCGACTTACGTAAAATACGTCTAATTTAAATTTGTAAATTCTGAGTAACACAAAAATATTAATTTTTCAAAAATCTTTGAATAGAAACATTTATTTTCAATTAAATAAAAAATTTATTCACTTTACGTTTCATTAACAAATTTAAAATTTGACATTGAATGTCATATTCTATTTTTATTTAATGGAAATGTGTCCTACTGCCAGGGGAATGATTCGTGTCAATATCGGTAAAATTCGTAAATTTACTATCGTGATTTACGTATAATTTATATGATAAAAATTTCTCGCTTGCGTGTCGCTATTCGCTTTCACCACGTTTTCAACAATTCATTCTGACTCAATCTTAATGAAACGATATGAAAGCAAAGGAAAAGTCAGTTTTATTTAAACAAAATTTTAATATTCCCTGATGAAAAATTATGTTAATTGTCACATTATTATTCTATTTATGTGTAACAGTAAACGATTGGATTAATTTCGAAGAAATACAATAAGAATAAGTTGGTTGGAAAAATTTTTTAAACAAAATGAATTTTTATTTATATTTATTTTGTTGTTTTTTGTGTTATTTGTGTGTTAATGTTCATGCTGTTGAGAAAATAAGTGAGAAAAATGAAAGTGTATTTATTCCGACGCGAGAATGGCAAATTGTAGAAAAAGGTAACTATTTTTTTAAATAATTTTTATAATTTATACTTAGTTATTTTCTTTTTAATTATTTTCAATTAATTTATTTTCTACTTAATTATTTTCGAATAGATTTTTTTCTATTGAATTATTTTCTAGTAACTTATTTTCTATTTAATTATTATTTTCCGTTTAATTATTTTATTTTAAAATTATTTTCCGTTGAAGACAATAATCAACATGTTTTTATTATTAGGACAACCGATTCCAAAAGGACTTCACATACGACATAATTTTGAGACTGGAAAAACGGAGGCAAAATTAATGGACCCGGATGATAATTCAAAGGAATCCACAGAAAAAACGAATAATCGAGCAAAATCGTTAATTATTCATGCAGATCAGTTGCAGAAGGAAGAGAACGAAAAATTGACGAAAGAATCGGCTAAACCATTTTCGGAAATTCCACTTGAAGAATTAAAATTGAAACTGAAGAATATTAAGTCGGATGAAATGAAACCTTTACAGGATGTGAGTTATTTTTTTAATTTACGATATAATTTCGATTTACTAACTATTAAATAACGTTTGTTTTACCATTTTTCAGAAAATAGAATAATACATTTTTTTAGGAATTAAATTATTTTCATAAATAATAAAACTCACAGCAGAATTTCAATCATTTTTAGTTCAATTTTAATCAAATTTTCTAATAAAAATTTATTTAAAAATGAGTTTCTGTTAAAATTTTAGATAATGAATATTAAAAGTAATATAGCGTGAATTTTAGAAATAATTTAATTTTCACAAGGTTTCAAATTAAAATCTCTGAAAATTTGAATTTTTCATACTTTTAACTAACATTTTTGTAGAATTAATTTTTTTGAAAAAGTTTAATTAAATTTTTTTGGGTTAATTGTTTGAAAGAATTCAATTATTTTTTTATTTTTATAAATATTGTAATAATTATAAATTCAATTATTTAATTATTTTTATAAATAATAAAAATTTCAGAGGAATTCAATGATTTATAATTTTTTTATATATATTTCTTCGCAATAATTAAATTATTCTTGTAAATATTAAAATTCTTTTTAGGAATAAAATTATTTGTTATATTCAATTATTTTCTTAAATAACAATATTTACCACAATAATTCAATTATTTTCATAAAAAATAAAATTCTTTTTAGAAATTCAATTATTTCAAAGAAATTCTTCGAAAGAATTCAATTATCCTTACAAATATCGAAATTGTTCCTAGAAATTCAATAATTTTAATAAATAATAAAATTCTTTGTAAAATTCAATTATTTTCATAAATAATAAAATTCTTTTTAAAAATTCAATTATTTTAAAGAAATTCTTCGAAAGAATTCAATTATTTTCAGGAATTTTAATAAAATTCTTTTGTAAAATTCAATTATTTTCATAAATAATAAAATTCTATTTAGGAATTCAATTTTTTTTCTAAATAGGTAATAAAACTCACAGCAGAGTTTTAATTATTTTAATACAATTTTAATCTTATTTCATTGAAAAATGTAATTATTCTTAAAAATTTTATTAAAATTCGTCGAAAGTTTACAATTATTTAAAAAATTTTTTATAAAATTCTTTATCAAAATTCAATTTTAAGAAATTTTATAAATTTCTTCGCAATAATTTATCTCATACTTTCAACTAACAATTCTGTAGAAATAATTTTTTTGTAAAAGTTAAATTAAATTTTTATTTGAAATTATTTGAAAGAATTCAATTATATTTAAAAGACTTTTAATAAAATTCTACACAATAAATATTTAATTATTTTCGTAAATAATAAAAATTTCAGAGGAATTCAATGATTTACAATTTTTTTAATAAATTTTTTCGCAATTAATTCAATAATTTATTAATTTTTGTATTTAAACAATTGAATTCTTGTAGAATTTTTTATTAAAATTGATTTAAAAATGAATTTTAGTTAAAATTTTAGATAATTAAATTTTCAAAAGGTTTCAAATTAAAATCTTTGAAAATTTGAATTTTATGTTGAAATTATTTGAAGTTTTTATTTTCTAATATATATTTAATTGAAGAATTTCTGTATAATCGAAATTTCGTAAAATTGAATTGTAAACAAATGGATTTGAAAATTCTTAAAAAACTTTTTGAAAAAATTATTAAAAATAATTTATTTAAAGAAGAATTTTAGTTAAAAATTTTAGAAAATATAAAATGATTTTATGAGTCGTTCGTCTTCAATTATTATAAAACATGAAGAAATTGATCACTCCGAGTCGAAGACTCGGAGTGATCGATATCTTCATGTTTTCTAAAAATATTCTTAAAAGTTGTTGAATTTTAATGTTTTGAAAATTTTAATTGCCATGGAAAAATAATAATAATAATTAAATATTTATTCAAAAAAGCAGTTATTGATGTTTTCGAATAATTTTATAATTAAAGAAATTCGTTAATAAATGTAATAGAACATTTTATTGATGTGAGATATTTTTTTTAATCTACAATTGAATTTCGATTTACTAACTATTAATTAATGTTTGTTTTACCATTTTTCAGAAAATAGAAAACATCGAGAAGAAGTTCAAGAGTTACCAAGAATTGAAAAAAGAGTTCGAGGCTCTGAATATGAATATTTCGACAGAAACAGATTTAATGAAAGATTATTTTAATCGTTTTTTAGCGAATAAAGATATTCTTCTTCTAAAGACTCTCGATAAGAAGAAGATTAAGAAAATCGTTGATATTTTGGATGATTTAGAGTACTTAATTCACCAAATTGATAATGCTCAAGTCTTCATTGACATGGGAGGGTAAGAACTTGATCATTTTTAATCAGTTTTATTTTAATTTTATTCAGGTAAATTTTTTTGTGAAATTTCCTTCTTTATTACCTATTTGTTTAATGTTTAATGATTTTTTTAATTAAAATTAAATGTAGGTTTTGATGTAGAATTTAATTTAATTTAATTTAATTTAAAATTAGAATTAGAAATAGAAATTTAGAAATTAAGAATTAATTTAGAAATTAGAATTAGAATTTAATTTTTTGATGCAGAATTTTGTAATGTTTAATTTTTTTATTGTTAATAATTTAATTAATATTTTTCAGCCTCACGAAAATTATAAGTCCCTGTCTGAATTCAACAAGTGACGAAATAAAATCCGAAGCACTGAGACTTTTGGGAGCAACTGCGCAATCAAATCCAAAGGTGCAGGCAAAAGTATTGGAAACTGATTTTATACAAAAGCTTTTACATCTACTATTGACGACTGACAGTAACGAAGTAAAATCCAAATGTCTCTTTGCTCTGAGTTCGATAATTCGTCAATTTCCAATAGCGCAGAAAGTATTTTTCGATCATGGTGGACTCGAAGTATTTGCAAAGTTACTTGACGGCAATCAACTTCAACCGCAAATTAGAGTAATGAATCTAGTCAATGATTTGCTCATCGAGAGAAGGAATATTATCGAATTTACCGACGAGGAAGTACGTCGACAGAGATTGAAAGCATATACAAGCACAAATTTTGAGAAGAAACTTTTAATGCATAATTATTGTTTCGAACTGCTCAAGTTTGCCACTAAAGTCTTTCGTAATATAATTACCGTTGACTTTATCGATCAAGCCGATGAACTCGTTCAGACGGTTGTTGAAAGTCTGATAACACTGAATCCTGTGTGTGAAATTGAATTTATGAAAGAGAGGAAAACAGTACTTTCTTTGATAAATAGAGTATTGGATATGTACAAAAAACGAAGCTTAATGCTCGAGGGGAAAGATGAAACGGATAGTGAACTTATTTTAATTTTGGAAAAACTAAACCTTCTCTTGCAATATTCCCACGATGAATTATGATATAAGGATTGCTTAACGAAAATGGCTTGAATATCTTTTACCAGTACAAAGCTTGTGATTCGCAATTTGCTGTGGCGAGCATTTTTCAACTTCAAGAGAAAAATAAAAAAAAGAAAATAAAATAGAAAGAGGGGAAGACAGAAAACAAAAAAAGAAAGAAGGACAGAAAAAAAGAAGGAAAGAAAGAAAAAAAGAAAAGTAATTTGTAAAAATTTATTTATATGTATATTTATGTAAACAGCATAGTTTTATTAGCTATTTTATATATTACTGTTGAATAAACTGACTGATTAAAGCTAATTTTTTGAGAGATTTCATTTTCCACAAATAAGAGGTTCTGTATTTTAAAACATTGATTTATAGAAGAAGTTTAGTTAAAAACATTTAAAAAAAGAAATTCAATTTTGAAAAAGTTACAAATGACTACAGAAATTCAATTATTTTCAAAAGTAATAAAATTCTTCCCACAAATCCAATTATGTTAAAAGATTTTTTAAAAATTCTCGTCAAAATTTGAATTATAAATAATAAAACTCTTCTCTGAAATTCAATTATTTTCGAAAATTTTGATGAAATTCTTGACAAAATTTCAATTACATTCCAAATATTTTCCTCAATTAAATGATTTTCAATATCTAATATTTTAATCAAATTTCCCAAAAGAATTCAATTATTTTTAAAAGTAATAAAATTCTTCGTAGTAATTAAATTATTATTAAAAAACTTTAACAAATATCTCGTCAAAAATTCAATTATCTTTATAAATAACAAAAGTTTTCACCAAAAATTCAATTATTTTCAAAAATTTAAATAAAATTCTTTACAAAATTTCAATTATTTTCAAAAGTTTTTCGCAATTCAATGATTTTCAATATTTACTATTTTCATAAAATTTAACACAAAATTTAATCATTGAAAAAAATTTGTTGATACAATTCTATGAAAACATTCAATTATTTTTATAAATACAAAACTTTCATTTAGGAATTCAATTATTTTCATCGTAGATATTCAAATATTTTTAGTACAATTTTAAATAAATTCCTCAAAAAATGCAATTATTCTTAAAAATTTTATTCAAACTCTACGAAAGAATTTAATTTTAAGAAACATTCAATTATTAAATAAAATTCGTTGCAATAATTAAATTATTTTATAAATATTTATTAATTTGTCGCAGAAAATCAATTATTTTCAAAATTTTTTAAGAAATTTTTTTAAAATTTTAATAAAATTCTTCAAAAGTATTCAATTATTTTCAAAAGTATTCAATTATTTTCAAAAATTTGTGATAATATTCTTTAATTCAATAAATTTCAGTAAAATTTTAATTAAATTCCTTAAAAGAAATTAATTAATTTTAAAAGTTATTAATCAAATTCTTCATAAAAATTCAATTTTAAGAAACAGTCAACTATTAAATAAATTATTTATTTTTGTATTTAAATAATTGAATTCTCGTAGAATTTTCTCATAAAAATTGATTTAAAAATAAGTTTCAGTCAAAATTTAATGTAATAATTAATATTAAAAGCATTATAGCATGAATTTTAAGAAATAATTGAAGTTTGAAAAGATTTCAAATTAAAATCTTTGAAAATTTGAACTTTTCATACTTTTAACTAACAATTTTGTAGAATTAATTTTTTTGAAACAATTTAATTTAATTTTTTTTTTTGAAATTGTTTGAAAGAATTTAATTACTTAAAATTATCAAGAAAAATTAAAATTATTATTAAAAATTTCATTAAAATTCGTCGAAAGAATACAATTATTTTAAAATTTGTTGATAAAATTGTTTATAAGAATTCAACTTTAAGAAATATTCAAATATTCAATAAATTATTAATTTTTGTATTTAAAGAATTGAATGATTCAATTATTTTCATAAATATTAAAAATTATCGCAGATTTTCAATTACTTTTAATACAATTTTAATCCAATTTCAAGAAAAATTAAAATTATTATTAAAAATTTTTATTAAAATTCGTCGAAAGAATCCAATTATTTGAAAATTTGTTGATAAAATTCTTTATAAGAATTTAATTTTAAGAAATCATTTATTTATTCAATAAATTGTTTTTTTGTATTTAAAAAAATTAAATTCTAGTAGAATCTTCTAATAAAAATTAATTTAAAAATTAATTTCAGTTAAAGTTTTAGATAATAATTGAATATTAAAACCATTAGAGCGTGAATTTTTAGAAATAATTGAATTTTGAAAAGGTTTTAAATGAAAATCTATGAAAATTTGAATTTTTCATACTTCTAACTAACAATTCTGTGGAATTAATTTTTTTAAAAAAGTTTAATTGAATTTTTTAAAAATTATTTGAAGTTTTATTTTCTAATATCAATTTAAATGAAGAATTTCCGTATAATTGAATTTTCTTAAAATTGAATTGTAAACAAATTAATTTGAAAATTTTCAAAAATTATTAAAAATAATTGATTTAAAGAACAATTTAAGTTAAAAATTCTAGAAATTAATAATTGAATTAAAATGATTAAAATAATTTTGAAGATGTTATTAGTAACAATATTCTTATAATTTAAAAAATATAAAATAATGACTTTATGAGTCGGTCATCTGTAATTATTATAAAACACGAAGAAATTGATTTCTGCGTGTTTTATAATAATATTCTTATTAGTTGTCGAATTTGAAATTTTTGAAAATCCTAATTTTTTTTGGAAAAGTAGTAATAATTAACTATTTATTTAAAAAAGAAGTTATTGATGTTTTTGAATAACTTTATAATAAAAAAAATTTGTAAATAAATGTAATGAAACATTTTTGTTGAGTATCAAATTATTTTTAGTATGAATCAGAATATTTTTTTAGGATCAGAGAAAAAGTCAAAATTGTGTCAGGAAATCAGGGAAAACTTAAATTTTTATGGTAAAATTGATAAACATAAATAATGTGGAATAATGACGTTTATTTACAGTCATCGCCGGTTATATATATAAGTATACAAGATAGTAATAATAAACTATATTATGAAATTCCTTGATTAATCAAATAATGAAAAATATATTTATACTAAATATTACGAAACCAGTAAGTGTTTAATATTTAATTTGAATATCAAAGAATTTCTTATAACGTACTTTTAGAAAAAATATGATAAACAAAATGTTTCTATTATTATATAATTAACAAAATTGTGGAACTTTATGTTTTAATCACTGGATTAATAACAAGACTTCTTTTTCTAAACATAAACCACATCTGTCATTTTAGTTATACGGTATTAGAGCACTAAATTTTGTCAATTTTTCGGCTCGATTTCAAAATCAAAATTAAATCACAAAAGTCAAAATATTTATGAATTGAAAAGACTGCTGATTTTTAAAAAAAGAAATAACATCGCTTTACTATTTGATCAAAAAATTTTTCTCTTCAATATAGTATTTAATATTATTCAATAACAATGTGATTTTTTATAAACAGATTTAAAACAGATCGTAGAACAGTGAAAGGCTCCTAGCTTCTATAATATGTACGGTATATATTGAATTATTTTAAAAAAATATATTAAGTTCGATCCAATTTTGTTCGCCCTCGGACAATTATTTATCGAGGCTGTATTTGCGAACCAACTATCATAGAATATTTACAGCTTTAGGAGAATTAAAAAAATATGCATGTATAATACTGGAAAAATCTACGTATACATACATTAATTTTTAATAACATTCATCTTCCCTGTGCGCGCCAAAAACTGACTTTTCCTTGCAAATCATTTTTTTATTTTGACAAATAGCTTAAAAAGTGGAAGCCGCTGACATTATCTTTGGGACTGTATTCTTTTTTCATTTTGAGTTGCTTTCATTGTAGAAGCAGCAAATACTGGCCTTGTTTAATAAATTTATAACAGGTAATTTCGTTCCTACCCAAGACTTTTTATCTTGACGTGTAAAAATAAATCTAAAACTATAATAATCTATCGCCAAATGCGCATAATTTCAATTAAATTGCTTCCTAAGAGTACCCTGATTTTTTTCGCTACGTTTGTCTTAACGTTTAGAAATTAAAAAAAAATTGTTTTCATTCCGAAATAGAATCTTCTACAAAAAAGTTTTCTAGCACAGGGTACTATTATCACTTGTCGCCCAACAAATTTATATTTAAGTAGAAAATTACAAATTTCAATTGAAAAAAAAAAAAAAAAAATATTTACATTTAGTCGCAAAATATAGTCAAAAACGCCATAATTGTTATACCAGCAAGCAGAGCGCCCAACTGCTTTAAAGATTCTTTGGGATTTGTTTCCTTGAGCAACTCTGGCAAAACTGACACTAGACCAATGTGCAAAAAGCCTCCCGCTGTGAATGGAAGAATCCAACTTGTTCTTGACTCTAAAAAAGAGAAAAGTAAAAAATTAGCAATTATTTACTCTTTACCCCTTTTTAAACACTAAAAATTTTTTTTGCCAAAAATTACCGTAAAACCTTTTATAAAAGTAAAAGAATTATTAAAATATTATTACTCTAACTTCTTCGAAATTATTTTCATCATTTAAATTCAATTATTATTATACTATTTTCTTGAATTTTTAACTAAAATTCTTCTCTTTAAATTTTTGTTTTTTGATTATCTATTTTTAATAATTTTTAAAAAAGATTTTCGAGAATTTTCAAATGCATCTGTTCACAATTCAATTTTACGGAAATTTTGATTATTCGGAAATTCTTCAATTAAAAATATGTTTGAAAATAAAAACTTGAAATAATTAAAAAAAAATACGCAATTACACTTTCTCTAAAAAATTAATTCCACATAATTGTGGAAATGAAAATATGAATAATTCAGATTTTCAAAGATTTTAATTTGAAATCTTTTCAAAATTCAATTATTTCTACAAAAAGTTCACGCTTTAATGCTTTTAATATTTCTTTCTTATTCTTTATTAACTTATTTTTTAATATTCCTTTCTTATAATTTAAATATTCAAAAATTTAAATTCTAACCTTTTTAAAATTCAACAACTTATAAGAATATTGTTATAAAACATAAAGAAATCGATCACTCCGAGTCTTCGACTCGGAACAATCATTATCTTCATGTTTTATAATAATTAAAGATGATTAATTTTAAAATTCAATTATTTAAATACAAAAATAAATAATTTATTTATTAATTGAATTTTTATGAAGAAATTTGATTAATAATTTTTGAAAATAATTAATTTCTTTTAATTGAATTGAATTTTTACTGAAATTTATTGAATTAAAGAATTTTATCACAAATTTTTGAAAATAATTAACTTTTGAAGAATTTTATTAAAATTTTTAAGAATAATTGCATTTAATGAAGAATTTATTTAAAATTGTACTAAAAATATTTGGAATTCTGTGATGAAAATACCTAATTGAATTCCTAAAAGAAATATTATTGAAAATAATTGAAATTTTGCAAAGAATTTTATTTAATTTTTTGAAAATAATTGAATTTTTGGTAAAAACTTTTGCTACTTATTAAGATAATTGAATTCTTGACAAGATATTCGTTAAAATTTTTGAAAATAATTAAATTTAAACAAAGAATTTTATCACTTTTGAAAATAATTAATTTCTTTTCAGGAATTTAATTAAAATTTTACTAAAAATTTATTGAATTAAAGAATTTTATCACAAATTTTTAAAAGTAATAGGAAATTTTTGAATAATTTTATTAAAATTTAAAAAAAATTTGAAAATAGTTGATTTTTTGCGACAAATTAAAAGTTATTTGTGAAAATAATTGAATTTTGCAAAGAATTAATTATTTAAATATAAAAATAAATAATTTATTTAATAGTTGAATGTTTCTTAAAGTTGAATTTTTATGAAGAATTTGATTATTAACTTTTAAAAATAATTAATTTATTATAAGGAATTTAATTAAAATTTTACTGAAATTTATTGAATTAAAGAATTTTATCACAAATTTTTGAAAATAATTGAAAACTTTTTAAGACTTTTATTAAAATTTAAACAAAATTTCTTAAAAATGTTTGAAAATAATTGATTTTTTGTGACAAATTAATAGTTATTTATAAAATAATTGAATTATTGCAACGAATTTTATTATTTTATTGAATAATTGAATGTTTCTTAAAATTGAATTCTATCGTAGAGTTTTAATAAAGTTTTTAAGAATAATTGCATTTTTCGAGGAATATATTTAAAATTGAATCAAAAATATTTGAAATTCTGCGATGAAAATAATTGAATTCCTTAAAGAAATATTATTGAAAATAATTCAATGTTTTTATAGAATTGTAGCAACAAAATTTTTTTCAATGATTAAATTTTGTGATAAATTTTATGAAAATAGTAAATATTTAAAATCATTGAATTGCGAAAAACTTTTGAAAATAATTGAAATTTCGCAAAGTATTTTATTTAAAGTTTTGAAAAATAATTGAATTTTTGGTGAAAATTTTTGCTTTTTGTAAAGATAATTGAATTCTGGACGAGATATTCATTAAAATTTTTGAAAATAATTAAATTTCTACGAAGAATTTTATCACTTTTGAAAATAATTGAATATTCTTGTAGTGAATATTGTTATTTATGAAAATAATTGATTTTTGGTAAGAATTTTATTAAAATTCCTAAAAATAATTGAATTTCAGTGAAGAATTTTGTTGTTTATGAAAATAATTGCGTTAAAATTTTTTAAATAATTAAATATTAGAAAATTCATTCTTGTCAGAAATAGAAAAATGTTTTGAAGGCTTTGTATTAGAATTAGTGGTAGTTTCATAGTTTATGAGGCAAACAAAAAAGTCACAAAAAATTCTGAATCTTCTTATGAATTCTAAAAATTTAATTTTTTCAGTACTTTTAATAAAAATCCCTGACTTCCCTGATTATTAACTTACCAACACCATTCCCACTGCAAAGAACAGCAACCATAGCACCGAAAATTCCGCCACTGGCGGTGAGTAATTGTGCTTTTGCCGCGTCCCACCTACTGAAACCACTTCTCAATAAAATCGCAAAATCTCCAACTTCATGCGGTATTTCATGAACAAGAATTGCAAATGTCGTTAGGGCACCTAATCGAAAAGATATCAAAAATGAACCACCAACTGCCAGGCCATGTGTAAAATTATCAATGCAATTCGCCATTAGATTCAAATATCCAGAAATATGTTTAGGCTTCTCCGTTTTCTCCACCAATTGAATATCATCCTTCTTGTATTTCGCCACCGAATCAAATCCATTTGAGCACTTTGAATTGAGGGGTCCATAGCCATTAGTGTAAAATCCATTATTCAAAATATCACTGCAATTTTTAAATCCATTTTTCTTTACAATATTTGAAACAATCTCGTCCTTCGGATATACTAGAACTCCGTTCTTTGGCGAATTCTTGTAACCGTTGAGAACTTTGTTGAAATTTAATTTTAATTCAACGACTGTAGGTGGTTCTTGTTTTCCATTTCGAGCGCATAATTTTGTTAGAATGTCATTTTCAGAGGACATGAGGAAATTGTTGTTCTCGAATTCCTTGAGTGTGGCTTTTTTAAATAGATGTTCGTCTGTTGATGTTGTTAGTTTAGTTTCAGTTTTTTGTTCATCCTCCTCTTCAGAATTCTTTTCACCCTCGTCGATAAACATTTTCTCGGCAACAATGAAGACGAGAAAACCAGATAGTACCCAAAGTCCACATGTCATTGGTAGTTGACTGTTGTTACTGTGAGCTGAAATCAGAAATTTTGTTTGGTAAATTAAATTAGATTAAATCGATTAAATAAATAGAAAAATATTAAATGAATAGAATCTATATAAAAAATTTAAATTAATCTAAAAACGTCAAACAGCGTCAATCTCGAAGGTTTATACAACAAAATAGAGTATTTGATGGAAAATTAATTTCTCTTTGTGATTTTACACTTTTTAGAAAATATTTATTTAATTATTTGAGATGAATTAAATTAAAAGTATAATTACCTTGCGTAAGAGTTTTACTGGCCCACGCTTCTGGCAAAAGATGTAAAAAAACATCTCCCAGCAAACCTCCAACAGCAAAACTTAAAAGTAATTTAAGCGTACATGCGCCTGCTGTAACAAAAACGAATGCAATTTATTATTTTTCTGTCCCTAAAATAAGACAATCTGTAAAAAGTTTCATTAAATTAAAATTATATTTTTTAAATTCTACCAGGAATTATTTTGCCAGGTGTTAATAACATTCATCTTGTGTTATTATAAAATAAATTATGAAATTTATCATTCAGCTCGAACTAATTTAAACAGAAAATAATAATTATTGTTATTAAAAATAATAATTATTGTTATAAAAAATAATAACTATTGTTATTAAAAATAATTATTGTTATTAATTTTTTGAAAATAATCATTCTTTTTAGTCTTTTAAAAATAATAATATATAATCTTTCAAGACAATAAATTTAGCATTTCTAACAAAAAATATTATTAAACAAAAATAAAAAAATATTTTTCACTAATTTAATAAATTAAACTTGTTTTGTTTAATTCTTTTGCATTTTTAATATTTTATGTAAAAATATTTTCCTTGTTTCTTTTATCGAGTCAATTAATAATTATTTTATTACAAAAAAAAGATAAAATAAAATAAAACAAAAGGAGAAAAAATAAAACAAAGAGAGAAAAAATTCGAAAAAAGCAAAAGGGGAAAAAATAAAATAAAACAAAAGGCGAAAAGAAATTAGAATAATTTTACAAAAATGATCCTTTCTTGATATTCTTCTAAAGAATATTAATAAGAAATGCTATTCTTTTATAATGGTACACATGAAGTTTATTAACACTTGTAAAGAATATTTCCTGTTCATATTATATCTATAGTATGAATGAAATGAATTTATTTTTATATTACACTTCGGAATTTAAGCCTACAAATTTTAATGGTTTCTATAGTGCATTAAAAATAGTTTAGTGCAAAAAATTTTCAATATCGCATATTTTATCAGTGAATATTATATTTTTTTGCTTATATTATTATTTGTTTCTACAACAATGCAAATGCAAACAAGTTTATCGCACTTGTGCGGTTTGCATTAACTGAATATATTAAAAAAATAATTTTAAAAAAGTTTTAAACAAATTTTGAGGTTTTCCTGGTTTTCCTTTAGAATGACGTGTTTTTACTTCGCTTTTTTTTTAGTCCGAAGAAAATACCGATTGATATTTGTATATTAAATTTAAATTCGTAATGTTTACTTACAAATTTTAATTATTTACGTACAAATAAATAAAGTTACAAATTTATTTATTTACAAGTAAATAAAATTGTAAATAAATATATTGAATTTAAATTTATTTGTACAAATTTAAATTCAAATAAAAAGGATATTTTGATATTAATTATTTCCGAAATTTTAGTAATAAATTGCAATTTATTTTCATAGAAATAGAAAATGTAGTTTTATAGTTTTCTACTTAATTTTATCTTTTCTCAAGTGAACTAAGAAAATAATAATTATAGTCACCAACACAACTTTGATATTGCCAATTGAATTATCTGTTTCGTACGAGTGTTTAAGATAAAACTTGATTTTGTGATAGCAAGAAAAAAATGTAAAACAAGAATGCGAAGAATTGTCTTTTAACTTCTTTCTTAAAGATAAATCTTGAGTAGTTCAGAATAAAGATAAGAGTGTACGCTTGAAAACATCAAGCATTTCAATTATAATTTAGACCTAAAAATCGCGTCACTTTTTGAAATTTTAATTTATTTATATTAAAATTCAATTTTTCTATTTTTTACCTTGTTTACTAAACGTAAAATAATTATTTTTTCGGAAATAGGTTATATTATGTTAGGGGTGGTTCATAAACTACGTCACACTCCTAGGGGAAAGGAAAAAATTTTTTATTTGTTAATAAAAAAAGAGTTAAAAATTAGTCCAAAATATTGTGACGTATTTTTTAAACTGTATTTATTATTAGACCGGTGAAAACTTAGAATACAGGTTTCAATAAAATTGTGATATACAACGATTTAGTACTAATTATTTCAGGGAAATATATTTTCTAAAATAAATTCTCTACAATCAAATTTAAAAACTCGCGCCATTAAAGTATCGTTCACAAGCTCAAATCTGATTGGTCGAAAAATTGCCTTTGCACTTATGGGACACTGCGCAGACTCACATGAAAAGTTCAGTTCTTGTCGTTTGCTCAAACGATTCAAATGTGTTTTTCTATCAAATAAAAAATAGTATTTACAAAGTAAAAACGTTACATACTAAAGTGAAAATAAGTAATTAGCAAGTAAAGTGTTCAAACAACTGATTAAACCATGAGAAACTTGGAGACAGATGAAAATTCGGAATCATTTGGACGTCGTTATAGACAGGTACATTTTGAGGTTATGTTCATGTAGCGGGTAGCGGTAAATATTTTTGTTGCATTATTTATTATCTTTTAGAAATTATTGTGTCAAAATGCATTCATATTCTTTGAAAAAAGTCATCAATCACAAAGCGTATCCCTAATTCGATAAAAATCACATGACGCATAGTTTTTATTTGCACATATAAAAGTGCATCGATATTTGTCAACAATGACGGCGGATTATCGGAAAGATTTAAAAAGAATCTGTGTCTGTCTGTTCTGTTGATATTGCAAATATTTAATTTAATAAATTTATTAAATCAATAAACATGTTAATGTTTTCATTTTAAAATAATATTTGCAGTTATTTAATATATTTTTTATTCTCTTAATTTTCATCATTTTCATTAAAAATGAAAAATTCTGTTTATCTATAAATTTCTTATTTTTTACTTCGTATTTTAAATCCTTTATTTTCTCGCAGTTAATGCATAATATTTAAAATTAGTCATGAGTTCAAAGTTTAGAAAGTCAGTCAGTGGAAATGAATTTGCAGTAGTGATAAAAGATAACAAAATCATTTTATGGAATATTAATAAATATTCTTTAGTCTCCATGTTGTCATTACAGGAAATGAAGGTATCTTGTAAAGAGCTTTGTTTTATAATTATGCTTCATTATTGTTTATTAATGTTCGACATTCATTGCATAAACTGATAACAGGAAAGTGTTAGAACGAAAATATTTGTTTTTTCAAGACAATAGAAGTTCGTTAAAAAAAAAATTTAGAAATTGGAAATTGTTTCTATTTTTATTTTTGCATCTATTTTTCTTTTAATTGATGCAAAATTTTCCGGCTGATGTAAATCTGTTCGAGATGATGCTAGATCTGAATTTGCATTGTAAATAGGAAAAATAAGATTGAGATAATTGATAATTTTGAAATTTGTATTTCTAATCAATTTTTTATTGCAAGGCGAGATATGAATGTGCTATTAATGCACACTTGACGCGAGTCAAAAACCTCATTTGAATTTAAAAATACCCTTGTTTCGAAATAGATACAAAACCCTTAAGCTAGACAAGAAAATTGTTTTTTTTTTTTTTTGACCAAAAATACATTTTCGTATTTCTAATTCGATCATTTCTTTCTGAATTAAATTTTTTTTTGACAGTGGCAAAATTTTTGCTTTGTTGAAACTTTTTTCTACAGTGGCCTAATTTTTGTGAATTATATAATAATTGATTAAAGAATTACCTCCATTTTTTAAATTTGTGCCCGCCTCAATGGGGATGATTAAGAGGGGAAGAATTCCTGAAAGACCGACCATGAAACTTCCTATTAAGGAAAAAAACCAGGGTTGATACTCAAAATAATCCATAGCAACGTTCCATGTTGCCCAATAATCCTCAATGAAATTGTCGTGCAATATTCCTGGATTTGTACAGTTCCCCACACATGCAGATGACATCTTTACTGTCTTGATTTGCAACAAAGATTACTCACTGACCTCGGCAAATTTTCGCCGAGATCTTTCTTTAAATTCTTTTTAAACTTCGCCCCAAGTATTTTGCCTTTCGAATTTTTTTTCACGATTTTTTCAAAATAACGAATTTAGAGAACCAAATTGAAATCCTGGTAAATTCCAATTACTGTAAAGTAGCATAGGTATTATACTCTTTCTATGAAAATGTCACGTGTTATCTAGATCTCCAGTCGTGATCATTTATCAATCACTTTGATACATAAAGAAAGGAAAAGTGAAAATAACATCAAAGGTTATAGAGATGATGCATTGGGTTTAAAGTGTCGTTGACTTTTTGTTACTCTAGATACTGTTTTTAAGGGAAAATTCTCCAAGATTTATTCGAAAGTTGTGGGTGGTGTTAATTATATACGAAAATTGGTTGTCTCGTGGAATTATCGTTTCATTACACACAAAAATACTGTGTCTTTCCGACAACACACTCGACGACCGACTAGTTTACACTGAAACTGAGTACGGACGCTCGAAGTTAAGCCGTCGGCTACAATCGATTTGGATCTGCTATTATTTCATCCCGCATTGATGCGAGATAACCGATTAAATTGGCAGTGTCTCTGCCCAGCCAGGTTTATATGGTTCACACAAACACTTTTCAAAGTAAGATAAGCGCGCAACGTAACCTTACTTCCTCGGACACTATCTTTACACTTCCCGACGTTGTGAATGTGCTCCTTGCTTGCTGAACAGTTTACGATGACTAAATGCGCAATAGTTAAATGCGCATGCTTTTATAGTTTGCCTTTAGTTCTGCGCAGCAAATGCAAAGACGAAGATGAAAATTGAAAGAGAGAAAGAAGGAAAAAGAGATTTTCCAAGAACTGAAAATCATTCAGTTATTTCATGATTGTTGTACAATTTTTAGAGACAATTTTCTTTCATTCCATTCATTATCATTCGTTGTTATTAATTGTTATTAAAATCCATTATTATTATTATTATTACTATTATTATTAATTATTAAAATTCATTATTATTATTCATTATTATTGTTTATTAAAACTATTATTCATTATTAGTTAGTATTTTTGTAATCTTTCGAAAATCTTTTGCTAATTTCCGAAAATATTTGCGGCAATCTTTTATTTTTCTTTGCAAAATTTCGGAATGTGTAATTCTTTTTTTTTTGTACTTTGAAGTCGTAATTTGAAGTTTGAAAATTATTATAGAAAGGGAATAATTTAAATGTGGCAGACAAAGTGAATCGATAAAACTAATGTCATATGACACATAATTTGCAATGTTAACTATATTATATATGCAATTATAAACGCATCAGACATACAATAGATTAGAACAAAAGAAATATTGACGTAGGAGATAATTGATAAATCTCTTTATATTTTATAAATTTCTTCATTATAGTTTTCTTTGCAAGAGTGACAAAATCCGAGTGAAAACAATTGAAAATTTTTTTTCTAGTTTAGACAGTAGACAATGTTTTCATTTGTAGATAATTAGACAATTATTATAGATAATAACCTATATTATTATATTATTATAGATAATTATCTAGTTATAACAATTGTCTAATTATCTAAATATTTAAATATTTATTTATATTTATTTATGTCTATAAATATTTGCAAATATTTAATAATTGTCTGCAATAACATTAAATATCTCTTTAAAAAGCTTTCGAAAAAGTTTCAAATAGTTTTAGTTTGAATTTTTGCATCTAAATTTGGCATCAGAATTGACGAACTTTGCACGCGTTGGGTTTTTATTTTGAATTGTCAAGTTGCATTATATGATACAGCCTGATCAATAATTGATATTTTATATACAATGTTTGTTAAATGTATCATTAAATGCTTATTTTAAGATATTTGAGCATTTCGATCGATTGATATAAAAAGAGATAGAATAAGAATTTTTTTTTGTGCAGACAATCTATATTTTTGTTAAGTACATCTCAATTTTTAAATATGTAGGTTTTAACCGCGAATTCACGCAATAATCATAAGAAAAATATTCGAAACGTAGAAGATGCATTTTATTTATGTACACATAAAGAGCGCTTATGTATTTATGTACAATCTGTGCACGCTTGGAATAAGTTATAAATATAATGAAAATTAAGGCGCACTTCTATTCAGAATTTAAAAACAGTCGCTGTACAACTTTCTTTGTTAACTAATATAGTTTTGAAAATATTTATTTGACAATTGCATTATTTTAGTGAAAATTGATTTAAAATGTAACTTTTTGATTCACTTGTTTCCTTATTTTATGAAAAATTACAAGTATTTACAATTTTAATTATTAATTTACATGTTTATGTTCTTTATTGTTTTCAACGTTTAAATGAACGACGATATTTTTTTTTAACTTCTTTTAATTTTGTATTTTTTATAACAAAAATTTTATAAAAAAAAGTAACAAAATTCTTCACAGAAAATCAAAAATTAAAAAAAAATTCTCGTTAATATTTCATATATTATCTTTATAAATAATAAAATACTTCTCCGAAATTCAATTATTTTAAAAAATTTTAATAAAATTTTTGGCAAAATTTTAATTATTTTAAAAATTATTAAAAATAATAATTGATTTATAGAAGAATTTAAATTAAAAATTCTAGAAAATAATAATTGAAATAAAATGATTAAAATAATTTTGAAGATAATTGCGTGGAATTAATTTTTTTGAAAAAATCTAATTGTGGATTTTTATTTTTGAAATTATTTGAAGTTTTTATTTTCTAATATATATTTAATTGAAGATTTTCCGAATAATCGACTTGAAAATTCTCAAAGAACTTTTTCAAAAATTATTAATAATAGTTGATTTAAAGAAGAATTTTAGTTAAAAATTATAGAAAATAATAATTAAATTGAAATAATGAAAATAATTTTCAAGAAGTTACAGTAAGAATTCTTTAAGAAAATACTTTTTTTTATCTTTTTGTGCATAGTTTTTAAAAATATTAAAGAAGGAAAAAATGTCGATTATTTAAAAGTTCAAGACTTTATAAGAAAATACTTGTTTTCTCGCGTATAAAAAATATCTCGTACGAAATAAAAAATTGTAAATATTGACAATTTCAACTATTAATATACATAATAATGTCTGCTTTATTTATAATTACATATATCAAACCTTTAGTGACAAGAGAAAAATCATATTTTTAAACAAAATAAGAAAGTTGTATTTACGGGTCATTGCGAAAGAGTTCAAATAATGAAAAAAAAATTAAATAATAATAGGGAAAATTTACTGGAATTTATTTGACATGTTATGTCAGGAAACTACTCAGTGATAAAGAGAGAATAAGAAAAAATATAAAAATTTATCCTCGAGTATATTTACTAAATATTCGTTTTTTCATAAATAATATGGGAAATACAAAATTCTGCGATATAAAGATAAAATATAAAATCAACAAAAAAACATTTATTTATTAGATGTGTTTATATACATATGCGCCAGAAAATGCATTAGATTGTAAATTTTTCTTTCCTTATTCAATTTTCAATTCCTAAAATTTTCTAAAGAAAAAAGAACGGGACATACAAGTAATTTTTTTTTACCTAAAATAAAACAATAAATATACCTATTTCAGCAAAACTAATATACAGATGTTTATTATGGAATTTAAAATTACTCCAAAAATGCTAAGTCCCGATTTTTTCTCATTAAATTTACAATTAATATTATATTAAATGATAAAATTTTTATTTGATTTATAATTTTTTTTCAATTATCTAAATTTAAAAAAAAATGTCTTTCCCTTTTTTTTGATAACAAAAATTTATTTGCATTTATGTTTTTAACCATCAAAAAAAATTTTATTATTTTTTTGAATTAAAATTGTAAGGAAAGTGAAATTAAAAACAAAATCCAGAATAATCACTTAATCAAGTGATATCACAGATTCAATTGACGATCTGCTTTTCAATGGCAATTTAGGTCCACCGAGATACCTTATAGGATTATGGAAGGTTCTGCGGTCACTTGATAAAAAAATCGGTGACATATTGACGACCATAGGAAAAGTGACATCTAAAATGTATAAAAATGAGAGATAACAAAAGTTTTTCGATTTAAAAATTTTGTATAAATTTTTCTTAAATTTATATAAATTCTTATTATTATTATTTTTTATTATTATATATATATATATATTTATTACTTTTATTTTTATTATTATTATTATTCTTATTATTAATTTTTTTACTCAGAAAAAATTGAAGTAATTTAATTAAATAATAAAATAATTGATAATAAAAAATAAACATTAACAGTTATTTAATAATAAAATAAAAATAATTATTTTTCAAAGAGTTTCATAGACTTTTTAACGTTTTTCCTGTTTATTTCTTTTAATTTTAATTACTATAAAACAATACGTCATAAAGCACGCATTATTTGATTAAAAAACAATTATTCACCGACCTGATGTCGATGTAGTATTTTCTTGAAGCTTCAATATTCGCTCAGAAATGTTTTTCGAATCACCCTGCGAAATAAAATAGTTTTTATTTTTAAATTATTCAACAAATTACAAAAATATTTTAAACTACTGTAACTATTAAGTGACTATTGAGTGCGCAAACAAAATTGGTATCATTCATTTTTATTATGCACATTATGCACATTTTTACTATGCATTATTATTTTTATTATTTTTTTTATTTTTTACTTTTATTATTTTTTTTATTATTTTTTTTATTATTTTTTTTATAATTTTTATTATTATTTTTATTATACATTTTTATTATTATTTTTTTTTATTTTTTATTATTATTATTTTAATTTTTCTCTAAATCTCAATTGATTGAAAATAGCTCATTTTTAGTAAAATCTTGGCTGATTTTTTGCATCAGCAGTTTGTAAAAATAATTAATTATAAGTAAATAAACTAAAAATATTTTAAAAATATTAAAACTATTAAAAAAAGTAACTAATTATTAATTCTCTGAATCTGAATTAATAGAAATTTCCTGAATGACATTTTTGGCTCATTAAACTAAATATTAATTGTCTATTAATTAAATATTAAAGATATTGAAATATATTAAAATATAATTATATTTGTAATTTATAATTATATAAAATATTAAATTTCAAATTTAATTTTATAAAAATAATTAAATATTTCTTTTAGGAATAAAATTATATTTTTTGTTTAGTTAGTAGCTCAATACAAATTTAAATAGCAAAGAAGTTATTAGTATATGAAAAGTTTCAATGAATATGTAAAAAAATTACAACTTTAATAAGCATTGGCGTTAGTTTCCATATGGTCGTTTCAATGCATTTTATAATTTTTTGTTGTTAGTGCTTTATAAAAATTTTAAAGTTGATAAATGATAAAAATGTTATTATAGGAAAAGCTTTTGAAATAATGATTAAGAGTTAGAGTTTTGTCAAAAAAATCGTATATTTTTTCATTCACATACGTAACATGCTAAAAAATATAAATAACGCTTGATATAAATGATTATACAGTGGTATATTTATGATATAAATTTATCGAAGGCACAGAGAAAAATGCGAACAAGTATATTAATATGAAACAGTTGTAGAAAGTTTCTTTATTAAAGTTTTTTTTAAAAAATGCAAGTTTTTAAAAAATTGTTTTTAAAAAGCCGTTTGAAAAACCTGTTTTAAAAAGCCTTTTAAAAAGCTGTTTAACAAAAAATTGCATCTTTTTTAAAAAAAATAGCGTAAAACATTAGGCTTTTTATACAAAAAAATGTACCTTCGATAATTGATGTTTTTGCTTCCTCGTGTAAGACAATGGTATTGATCTGAAAAGACCATCTCTTGATTAAGTGATTTGTTTTTACTTTTTTTTGTTCTTATATTTCCCATGAACACTCTATTTAATTTGACCAATATAATTTCTAAAAGATAATTGCGATTATTATATATAAGAAAAGAAAGAAGAAATTCTTTAAGAAATTAAAAATTTTCTTCCGGAAATATTGAAAATGAAAACAAAATAATTTCGAAATGCACAATAATTATAATGCTACTATCACTATAGTAATTTTAAATCGATTGAATAACTTCTGAATAATGCAATTCTAAAATAATATTTTCATCCATAATTTTCAATTTACTGTAAATTAATTGACTTCAGACATTAGTCAATTAATCAATCAAGTAATTAGACATTTTTAGTTGAAAACTTTTTATTTTAGAATTCAGTTATAAAATACATATTATGTTTTGAATTAATTTTTTCTAATCGACCTAATATTATGCTGAAATTTTCTAAAATTAATAAAGACACAAGCATACACATACATACACGTGACATAAAATTATATGTGAAATTTCGTTTATTGTGACACAAAATCCTCACCATACAAACACCATACAGTCTTTAAAATTTTGAACGTTTGGATGTGAACGAACCTTTTTTTTTCCTTTCCGTATTTTTCAATATTATTGTATCTTAATGCGATAAAAAAATAAATTTGATATTTATTAACTATAATTCAATTTTTAATGTGCAAATTATTTGCAAAAATTAAATCTACAAAAATTTAGACTTTAAAAAAATACGTGGGGAAATTTTACGTTTCTGATCTAAAAATTGGATGAAAACAAAATTCGTTCAATTTGAACGTTCAGAACTTTAGGGACATCCATACATTCATTAAGTTGACTTATTCCTTTTAAATTAAAAAGAAAAAATGTAATTATTATTAATATGGTGAAAAATTAATGAGCATTGCTGATGTTCAGGAAACTTTTTTAAACGTAAAATTACCTGTGCTTAAAATGAGGGTTTAAATAACTTTGCGCACATTGCTTATATGAAAAAAAGACACATTACGTCTTGCGTGCATAAATTATATATAAATTTAGAGATTAGTGTTGTAAAAAAAAATTACAATATACACTACACCAGTAATAAACATCAGTAAATAAATTATATCGAATATTAACTAAATTAGATGTTTGTTTAGCAACATTGATCTCTTTGGTTACAATTGTTACGAATAACAGCCTTATTATTTGTTCTTTGCTCTACAACTATGGCAATTAATACTAAAAATAGCATAATTGTGCGTAAGTTTCCGTTAATTATAATATATATTAATATAGCCAAAGAAATGAATTTGCTGCAGTATTAAAAAGATTTTTCAATTTTACAAAAAATATACAAAACAATTTCAATTTTTATAAATAATTTTAAGACTTTTAAATATAACGAAAAATATTATATATGTACTAATACTTAAAATTTAAATCTAAAATGTGTGAAAATGGAATGCAATAATACGTTTTTTAAATGTCTATAGGACTAAATTGTAATGATGTTGATTAGAAACTTTGACAGAAGAAGTCTTTTGATTTTCTTTAAATACTTTAAATATAAGGTGAAAGAAAAGAAATAATTTTTTAAGTTTTTCTTACTGGAAATTTGAGACGTCAAGCAACTTTATGTCGACCTTGTCAACATGTATACTATCGGGGCGTGTTTTAATATCTGTCGTTAAATTTTGCAAATAAAGACTCTGTGGCCTTAGGGGTAAATTATTATTTTGCGTATTTCTATCAATGGTCATTGGTATTTGTTGTGTTTTAATCTCGTTTATACCAGTTATCGAGAAATTAGTTTCCAAAAGTGGTTTTTTAAATGTGGAATTATTGAACCAATTGGGATCATTCTTTTTATTCCCATCCCTCCCCAAGGCACTTCTTACCGGTGTTGGTGGTTTCATTAACATTTGCGATTCAGAGTTATTTAGCGCTGTTTTTTCATCAACCTCTTCATCCTCAACTTCCTCTTCTTGCTCCTCTTGTTCTCGTTCCTCAAGTTCAGGTTCTTCTCTTAAATCTTCCATTGACTGTAAAACAAAAATCATTCTCGTTTTCTTGTGATTTTTTCGAAAAACATGCATTCTTTGATAAAAAAAAAACAACCGCAGGGCAAAAAAAGCGTAAAAATTGTGATTAATTTTTCATAAATAGAATCGCATGCATATGAAAATAAAACCTTTTATAAATGATTATAAGAAATTTCTCTTTTTGAAAAAGAAACTCTCCCTTATTCTTTTTTTCAATCCAATTACCATGCACTTTGTATTAACCAAAAAAAAAAAATGTACGTCTTAAAAATCTAATTAAAAAAAAGCCAACCAATAAGCCGTGCAAGCTTTATGCACACGTCTAGTTGAAAAAAAGAAAAAATCTTTACAAATGGGTTGGGTTTCGGAGACTTAGAGGCGGTGCCTGTATTTACCCCGAGGTAATCCTTCTTCTCTAGATCCTCTTCTGCTGTAATGATAAAAATATTACATATCGAATCAAATTTTTATACCCTCACCTTCGCAGTTGTAATTTATTAACAAGAAACATCAACTTTATATTCGAGTATAGATTCAACAGTATTTTCACTTATTTTATTCAACTTTATTTTATTTAATTATTTTCATTCAACAAATATTTGTACGGATATTAAGTTGAAGGTATATTAAGTTGAATTCAATGTTCTTTTCGATTTCATGCAAAAGTGAACAAAATTATAATATACCTTTCATATGAACTTTTTTATCATTCACTATTTCTGCTTTTAAATCAGTGTTCAGCAAAGGTTTGTAGTCCTTAGAAATTGGTTTTGCATGAGTGCCACCATTTGGTCGCTTGTCATCGTCATTGACTGATTTGAAACCAACACTTTTTACTCCAGTTGTCCCTATTACTGAATCATTGTAAGGTGGTTGCCACCTTTGCGAAGCTGTTGAACCCGCGCGGGCTCTTTTACGCTTCTTATCTTCGCGCGCACTTCGTAAAACTTCATATGTACAACCTAAAACTGCAGCTACAAATACACAACACAATGCAATAAAAATATAAGTCCCCGCTGCTTGCTCTTCTTTCGTTGCGTCCAAATATTGAGCAACGTATTTTATCCTCTCCGGTGGGTCCTCAACCCAAGCCTTGTCTTTTGTCTGCAAACGATTAATTTAATTTACCGAAAATAATTAATTTTTATACCGAAAGGAATTAATTTTTATATCGAAAAGAATTAATTCTTATATCGAAAAGAATTAATTTCATTTACCGAATAGAATTAATTTAATTTCTCTTAAGTTGAATTGAAATAATTTCAAACTTACAACACTGTCATTTGACGGATGTTCCAAACCGCGAGGTTGAACGTTAAATGCTGAACATTGAGCACTTCTGACTCCGGCTGGCATGGAAACTCTTACGGTTTCACTTCCTTTTTTCGTGAATAGCATATATTCTTCTAGAGGTTTCATTATTGCTCCGCCGTTAATTGACACAACAACATCTGTAATTCACAAGCATTAAGAGAAAAATATTTTTACTATTTTTAATTATATTAACATAAATATTCGACGCTCCACACGTTACATATCATTAAAAAATCTACTCACTACTAAGACAGCCAGTGTAACTTTTGTATGGACTAAATCTTGGATCAGAAGTATTTAGACCACCGATTTGTATTTCCGTGACACCTGGACTGTCGTCATTTTCTTTATTATCATCATCGTCTCCTGAACTTAGTACAGGAAGAGGTTGCAGATGAACATGTTCTCTATCAATCTTTGTAGAAAAGAAAAATCGTAAATCATTGTATTTACACAAAAGAAAAATCGTGTTAAACAGAAGAAAAATTTCTTCTTTCTAATATCTCACCAATAAGGTTGCACTGTTGTTGACTCGAGTGTAATAAACACTGTGCCTAGCTCCATTCAAAAAATTCTTATCAAGTCGAACACCATAAGTTTGACCTTCCCTGTCCTCCTCGAAATTCAAGTGTCCTTCTGAAGTTAAAGCCACTATGAGATAATAGCTTCTTCTACAAAAAGGTAATAGAAGTATTATTGATAATTTGAACGTCATTGATTTTCTGCAAAGAATTTTATTAATTTTGAAAATAATTGAATTTCTCCAATCATTTGCAGTTTCTCTAAAATTCTCCAAATTATATCGTATGATTTACGAAATTTTCGTTCTTTTTCAATCAAATTATGGTCATTACGGACCTTTTTCAAAAAAATTGACCTTTACGGACTTGAAGAAAATTTACGGACCTAATTCGAGTTCAGAATTAAGGAATTATTTCATAAATTGCGCATCACAATAAAAATATTTACTTGTTTTCAGTTTGAAGCAAAAGTAAAGCTTGTGTCCTCTGACGATTATTATCAGTTGTAGAGAAAGCTAATTGAACTTTGACTTCATTAACTTCTCCCTCGAGATCAAATTCCCGTTGAAGTACACTTTCCCCACTAAAATCTGCACCTTTTTCTAAAAAATTGGGTACAATTAAAATAAAATTAAAATTACAATATCAAAGAACTACGTGGTTTAAATTTACAACATGATCAACGATTAGAAGAAAAAAATATTTTTTACCATTCGGATAGAATAATTTTACCTTCAACGCAGTGCTCCCCGAAATAAGAGGTTAGCTCGCAATTACAAGAAGATTCCTGTTTACCAAAGTCTTCGGTACAGATGCCCAAATTTTTGCAAGGAGTGTAGTCACACTTCATGTTGCAATTGGGAAGAACTCCTTTACTTCCATCGTGATTTGCTTCGCTCGCTAATCTTGGAAGGTCTATTAGATCTTGACCAATCCTTAAACCCCTAAGACAACCCACATATCCTTCAATCAAGTGTCCCTCAGTGCCCATTCGTAACAAATTATCAGGATCAAAACCACCTAAATTTATCTGTAAAAGTGCATTAATTGAATTTGCATAAAACAACATTTTTTCTAATCAAATATAAAACCACATTTTATTGCTGGTTTTGGTTATTGTCCTTTTAATTGTTATACCTGAAAATAATCTGTAGGTGGCGCAGGTGGTCGTTGAGGAGCCAAAACCTCCTTCTCTGAATTAACCCAAGGCTTATTGGAATAAGTGTTCAATAGTTTAGGCTCTACGTCTAAAGTAACATTGCATTCATTCACATGGAGTGTTGTTGAATTTTCACTGTGTTTAATTGCAATCTGAACAGATATTCCCGTGTTGATATCTGAAAAGGATATTTTAATATCGTAAAAAAATTAAGGATATTAAAATTGAACATATTTTATGTTTTTCATTTCACTTGCCTGGACATTCGACAGTAATATTTTTTTATTTCATTCTCAGCATTGAACAAGTAAACAATGTGAGTACCATTCGATAAATACAGGTGCATGAAATTATTAAAATTATCATTGGCGTAAAGAATCAATGAATTCTTATCATAGGTTCTGAGATTAATTAGAATATCTCGTTGGAATATATTCATTAGTTTATCTCCATCTTCATCCCTTCCGAAATAATTCTTTTTTTAAAAACGCTGCAGGTGACGTGAATGTAAGAGCTTTACTGTTTATATCTAAAATGAAAATTTATTAATTTCTCAGAAATAAATTTTTTTGATTCATTAAAGAATCAATAATAATAATTCAAACTCACTTGATTCACAATATGTTCCTAAGTGAGCCCATTTGTTTTCACAAACACACTCGAAATTACTCCAAAGTTCAACGCATTTGGCGTTATTTTTACATTTGTTAGGTTCACAGGACGGTTTACAGTCTTTTATGATTTCCGATAAATGAACTGACATGTAACTATGAATGTCTAAAATCTCTCCGTTTACCACTAAACCTCGGAAGCAACCAATTAGTCCCTGTCGAACGGAAGAAGTTTTGAGTTGCTCTCTGAAAAAGGAATTAAATTAATATTGGATATTTTAATTGGTAGAAGATTAAGAGGTAGTTATTATTACCCAGTTGCTCCGCCAATGAACATTGACCCTTCGAAGGGACCGAATTCTTCTTCCGGCAATAGGTCCACCATTTCCTGATCAGTGTTAATCATAAATCTCACATGATGATCATTGTAGTCAATCCATATTTTCTGCCATTCACCATTGTTGAGTTTCCTTCCACTCTTTACATCGAGAACCCGTACGGCTCCAGTATTTAGGGTAAAATTAAATGTGAGTCTGTAGTCGGAGGTCAAAGCCACCATAAATGATGGATAATTGCTTCTAATTGGCGGCTGGTACAGAAGAATTGCATTCTCCCCCGTAGTTCGGAAACTGAAAGCTATATCTCCTTTTCTCCAGCCCGGAACTTCGATGTACGACTGTGAGGTTGTGAATGTAACCACGTATTTTTGAGTGTCTGAAAATGTATTCGTTTATTTTTTTCTCTTAGATCGAATCGTTAATGACAAATTTGTCATACAGGTAAATGCTTATATGTTGTCCTTCCGATTGGATTGAATTTTTACTATTAAGTTATTAGTACGTGGCAAATTTATTAACCATTTTAGTGACGAACTAAAGTTTGCAATAGAAATGACTTGGTTGCAAATCGGAAGGGCAGCATTTATGCAAAACTTGGTTATTTTTACAGAAAACAAAGTTTTTGCTTCTTTTTGCGTCAGATTGTCTTACTTGTTTCGACACACTCCAAGGGTCCTAAGGTAATTCTTCCTTGTGCGTCTTCTTCCAAATCTCTTTGTTGTAGGAAGACCATTTTCATAATTCCGAGAGACTCCGGACTTTCGTAATATCCTTCATCGGAAAGCCACTTTCCGGCAGATACATCGCAGTTACAACTGAGATTCGGATCCACACAGGTCTTGTTCACTTAACAAAGAATAGTCGATACTGTTATTGATGTTGATAAACGTCAATTAATAATTTAATAACAAAGAGGCCAAACGAATAAAAAAAGGTCAATTTTCAACCAGCTGGAAAACAATAAAAAGAAATTTACTTACTTCCACAAGGACAAGAACCTCTAGTGACATTTCCGATATAGTCAATCGTTGTTCCTTTCGAACCATAAAACCAAGTTGCACTATGCAGTTCCAATGGAGCTTTGTAACAATCGTACTTAACATATTGACTACAATACAGCGAATGGGAAATTAATTCTTGAAGCATTTCAGCCGAAAATTCTCTGTATTTAATACTGAAACTAAAGTCATTTTCTGCAATCGACCTGACATCAACTTGCGATGGTAAGTTGTGCTCAACAATAGTCTTCGTCGCGTCTTCTATTGATTGAAATTCACATTTAACCCACGCAGGTGGAAACTTTCCATTACCGTCAATATCTATTCTATAAACGTTGTCTACTGAGATTCCCAATAAGGCCAGTTCTTCACAAGTCTTCCTGTATAATGCTGGAAGTATTTTTAAAGAGAATTACAAAAAACTGCTATTGTTAAATAAATTAAACATCTGCTGATGCTAACTCATCCCTACTCTATCGCCATAGAACGTAATCCCAATAGTCTCCCAGGTTCTCTGCTGATATTAATGATCATTATCGTCAAAAATCGGCCTTTTTGACGTTAATGGTCATTAGCATCAGCAAAAATCGGACTTTTTGACGATAATAGTAGTTAGCATCAGCAGAGGGTTAAATATTAATAACTTAATCATAATATAAATTTCTAGATTAATTACCAAAATGGCAATTTTTGCCAACGTATCCAGTGTCAGTGCAATCACAAGTAATTCTGTCCTCCTTAACAGAACATTTACCACCGTGCTCGCAAGTGTTTGGTCTCTTACAGGGGTCGACGAATTGACAATTATCTAAGGCCACTTCGCCGACAACTCTTTCCGTGTTAATCACGTATCTGGGCTCTATTCTTTGTCCATTAACTTTGATTTCTCTCATGCAGCCCACTAGACCTATTAATAAGTAATCTTGTTAGAACCATTCATTATGCGTTTACTTACACCGCAACACCACTGAATTACTATCGAGAATTTTATTGCAAATTCTATTCAGAACTTTACTGCAAATTCGATTCGGAATTTTACTACAAATTCGATTCAGAATTGTACTGTAAATTCGATACAGAATCGTACTGCAATTTCCATTGCTAGAATTTTATCAAAACACTTTACTCTCGATTCCCCTTAAATCCCTGAAATTATGGTAATTTTGCCAAGGGAACTTACCAGCATTGCCATTACCACTGCCAATGATGACCTTGTTGCCTAATTCGAATGTCATAGGAAAGAGATTGCTCTGTTTGTTTCTGTAGTCGACTAGAATATTGAGTTCGCCTTTGGTGTAATTTAATTCTACTGCATGCCAGGATGTATTGTAGGGCGGAAATTTTACTGCAGTGGAGACGGTGATATTTTCAATGGCAACGGGTTTTAGATTGAAACGCATCTCGTCGTTTACAAGGCGTAACTGAAGATAAAATAGAAAAGCTGCATTAATGCATCATTAAGAATTTTTTGATTCGAATATCTTTTCCTTATTCAGGATACAATATTACCTCCCAGTATCCAAGACCATTTTCACTCCTGACATCGCCAGAAGCCACGACAGCCACTGGTTTTGAGCTTTTAAAATCGAAAGTAACCTGAAGGGTGTCTGTACTTTCGAGTGGCCACCAAATATGACTTCCTACAAAGGGATACGTAATTGGAATAACATCCACGTCAGCCTCGTAGAATTCCGGTTCTAAAACTCCGATATAGTGGACCATTGGATTTAATTTCTTGAGTTCATAAATAATTGACTTGTCATTGAAAAACACGTATTTTAGAGATCCTGAAAAGTAAACAAAATTAGTTTTTGTCTGGAATAAATGGACGCGATTTGCTTTTTCTTTGGAGCGGGTCACAAATATTCACATAGTGTTAAAAAGTGTCCAAAAGAACCCACCAGCAAAATTATTATAAGACTGTAAACCCTTTTTCTTCTGCAATTCTGGGCCCCCTCCTATATAAATTTCCGGATCTATGATAAGATTGTAATTTTCGCCGGGAACTTGAAAAAGTTTCACCTCATCATTGAGAATGATGTAGACTAGGGAAATGTTGTGAAATATTGTTAAATTATTCCAGTAGTTCATTGTCACTCGTTCGCCAAGAATGGCACTGATTTTTGAATCATGACCGAAATCTAATTCAACATGAACTGATGAGTTTATTATAGAGGCTGAGACATAATGGGCAGTGTCATCGATCTCTCCAGATGCGTAAAAAAGAGCAGAGTCGTCCCAATTAGTCTAGAAAGAGTTTTTCTTTTTAGTGAATAGTGATTTATGGCTAACTAAGTAGGGAGAGAAAATTGATAACTCACTTTGAATGCAAGACTAATTCGGTTCACTGAGGAGTGAACACGGTCCTTCCAGTCGTAGACTCGAAACGAAACGTATGACGAGCCTCTTAATGTGAGAACAGTAGCAGCTGAAATTCAATATTTTATTGAAAATAATTCTTAAAAATTAAAATAATTATTAGTCTCTATATGTAAATTAGTTACTTATGATTAACAATATTTTAGTTTCATTAGAAATAGTTATAGTCAAACAGGGTTGCAACCCTGTCAAATTTGACAACTGAACTAGTTGTTTTCTGTTGTTAATTATTTATTTTTTACTAATTTGAATACACCCAACTCGTTCTGTTTTACTGTTAATCAGTTTTCTATACTAATTCAGATTTAGAGTAAAAATTGGTCAGTATAACAAATTGTTATTAATTAAAATATAAAAAGTACTGCATACTATAAACATCACAGCGTTCTCCTTCGTATTTTGTTCCGAAACAGTCACACGTATAAGTAAAGTAGTGATTCACACACTGATTTTCTTTGAAACAGAGATTTTCTGGAGTGTAACATCTGCAATATGTTGAAAATATATTTATAATCACGTGTTAGCTTATTTATTTACAAGTATTGTGCTAATAGATACTCACTTGTTTATGCAACCTTCTTGTACGTTTTCGTGTTTTGTCGCAATAAGCGGTCGAATTGGAATTAAATCTCTGGTTGATTTTCCCGAACTTAGTACCATATCCCTAATGCATCCAACAAATGATTCGATTATGTATTTCACGCCATGCAGTCGCTCTTCTGAACTCAAACCTAAAATTAAAAGGTAGTTTTAGGTTTCGCTTCTTGTCAAAATGAGTAACCTGCAGATTCATTCTTACCTCCTATCAAAACAACAGACGCTAATTCATCAGAAACTCCGTAATTAACAATACGTTCTAAAACATGCAAGCTCGTCTCTGCCCGCTTATCGTCCACTCTGGCAATTAATTTTGCCCCATGGACGTCGATTTGTACTAAAACACTGTGCCATTCGTCGCGATTCAATCCTTCTCCAATAGTTAGGCTCGTCGTTATTTTTCCGAAAACGTGAACTACCTTCAATTGTCCCTTCTCAACAATAACATAAAGGGCGTAAGGGTCGAGGTTTTCAGGTCTGTCTTTTACACTATGATAAACTAGTAATCCATGAGGTAATCTTGTTCTAAATTTGAATGATATTTCTCTACATAATCTGAAAAAATGAAGAAAACATATTTTACATGAACCAACACTTGTTCGAAATTTTTTGCCAAATTGCAACCATCATCTGTTTCGTAATGAACAAAGTGTTAATTGTTAGTTTTCTACGGATTCAAATTTAGAGACTTGATACTAGAAAATTAATACTTTGTCAGTTTAATTATTATTACCTCAGTTGGAATGTCTTTATCCCACTTCCATCTAGTTGAATGAAAGTATTACTCTGAGCAAACATGAATGTCTTTTCGTATCCAGACTCCATAAACGTTAGTTCCTTTAAGAATAAGTTGTTTCATTAATAAAAATTTAATTATTAATAACAATTTTGATAATAACAACTACTAACCTTTCCTCTCTTGTGTTTCGGTACGGGAGGTTTCGCCGGTTTCGATGGTGTAAAAGTTGGAACTGGTCTGTTTGTCGTTGTTGTTGATGGAGTGCTCGTTGTTGTTGAACTTGTGGTGACGAAAACACTACCTTTCGTTGACATGTACGGTGGTAATGTGTCTGGAAATTGTAAATTTATGTACAAAATAGTAGATCAAGTTGGTTTAGCCTTTTTACTAAAAACGTAACAAGCATAACCAATATCTCTTTCTTCACTGACATTTGATTACACAGGTCAACAAAAAAAGACTTACTTTTTTTTTATGAGATAGCGGAATGGTTTCCTATGTATTTTTGGACGCTGAACACGATCCCGACTTCCAAAATTGCCCATCACGTCAGGATTTTGAGAAAAGTGGGGGTAAAGACCCCAAAAACGCTTTTTTGAGGAATTTCAACATTTATTTTCTCTTTAACCTGACGTGCTAGAGACTTCCACAAGGTCTTAAATTAAAGCTTGTAATGTGCACTAAAAGACCAATATCCATAAAATAAAAAAAAATTAAAATTTTTTTCAAAAAATGGGATTGAAGACACCAAAAATTTGTGTTTTTGGATTGCTTTAATAGACTTTTTGCAATTGCTTGGATTCGCATGAAAATGGTTACTTGGGGTTTTTGGGGTCGCTGATTACGAATCCGATATTAGTTTGCAAAAATTAAAAATGGCGGATTCGTAATCAGCGACCCCAAAAACCCTGAAATAACAATTTTCAAGCGAATCCAAGCAATTCTTAATTCTTACATCTGCCATCTTGGTTTCGCCGTTTTAAATTTTTGCAAACAAATATTGGATTCGTAATCAGCGACCCCAAAAACCCCAAGTACCCATTTTCAAGCGAATCCAAGCGATTGCAAGAAGTCTATTAAAGCAATCCAAAAACACAAATTTTTGGTGTCTTCAACCCCATTTTTTGAAAAAAATTTTAATTTTTTTTTATTTTATGGATATTGGTCTTTTAGTGCACATTACAAGCTTTAATTTAAGACCTTGTGGAAGTCTCCAGCACGTCAGGTTAAAGAGAAAAGAAATGTTGAAAATCCTCAAAAAAGCGTTTTTGGGGTCTTTACCCCCACTTTTCTCAAAATCCTGACGTGATGGGCAAATTTGGAAGTCGGGATCGTGTTCAGCGTCCAAAAATACATAGGAAACCATTCCGCTATCTCATAAAAAAAAAGTAAGTCTTTTTTTGTTGACCTGTGTTATTTAATCAAATATCAGTGAAGAAAGAGAAGAAGCAAAACTTGATTATTCAGTTAAATGGCAGTGAAGAAAGAGAAGCAAAATTTTATAGTAAACGAAAGAAAGTATTTAGTCCAAAGAAGAGATTTAATATTTATAGAAAACAAAAAGAAACAAGTTCAAAAGAGAGATTTAAAGATTAAAGTGTATCAAACTTACGATCTGCACCACCGATGCAGTGATGAAGACACTCCGTTTCCGAGTGAAATCGGTTCTCGTTGCCCAAGCATCCACCGTAGGGAAAGGTTTTGCATCTTCCTTCTGTCACGTCGAAAGTCCACTTGTGAATAAAATGCTTGCAAGGACCGGTCTCTGTTTTCAATAAACATTTGTCCGGTAAATTCTTCTTTGTCGTGAACAATTCGACATCTTCTGGAACTTGCACTTCTGGAGAAACGCTGCTTTGATTGGCAGTGTTTAAATCCAATAGATTCACCATCAGAACAAGGACCCCGAGGATCCATTTGTCGCAATTGTTCATTGTACTTCATTCGCTGAAAATTTCAAATATTTTTTTATATAATCATAGATTTTTTTTGCCCTCTGGTAAAAAAACCATGTTTGTTCCAAAAAAAAATTCTTGGAAGATTTTTAGAAAGTTTCATGTCCGCTAAATAATGTTTTGAAACATTATTCGAACATCCATGTTCTTTTAAATGTTTTGGTACATTGTTTGAACTTCCACGTTCTTTTAAATGTTTTGGAACATTATTTGGACGACATGAAACGTTTTAAGAACGTTTTTGCAACGAACATGATTTTTTGCACAGAGGGAAAGAAATCAAACGAAAGTCATAATTTAATCTTTTAGTTAATATACGAGTAATAATTGCTCTACACACATTGAGTATACACGTCATTCTTATAAGAGTGACGAACTTTAATTTTTCAAGTCACATGTGAACGCCCACACAGTTTTCTATAATGGATTTAAAACCTTTCTTCCGGTTTAACAGTCTACCTTATAGGCACCGCCAGAGGTATTCTACTATTTTCAAATGGAGATGAGCATCTTTTATTTTTTTTACAACTTCCGATATTGTACAACGAAATTATTTTTCTTTTATCTACGCGAAAGCGTGATTTGAATTTTGTTTTCCTAAACCTTAAATAATTTTCCTAAAGTTTGTGTCCACTTTTAGCTTATAGAAGAATGTTTTCGTTTCGTTTACTTAAAAAATTACTGTTGGTTACAAAAAAGATGTACATATTTTCTCTTCTTATCTTTGTTGATTGTTTAATTATTTATTATTCTGTATTGTCTAATCTGCTTTATGCATTAGAGTAAATATTGATTCTCTAATCTTTTTATTGTGGGCATTAGGCCCGTATAAAAAGATTACGTATTATTTGTGTAGTGAAAAAGTTGAATGAAAGAGCAATTAACTATAAAATTATATTGAAAGTGTTTTTTTTTCTCTATTTTCAAAAGGTCAAGACTAATGAACGATAAGGAATAAATCATCATTTCGTTATAGGATGATAATTCTACCAGCGCAAAATTACCGAAAGAGAATTAAAATTAAACGAAATAACTTGAGAGGAGTAAAAGTTTTTGAAAGTAACGCTTTATCCGTTGTTACTATTTTCTTCTTTTCCGTAGAATATTTAAATATTTACACTTTTAACTTAAAAGCATCAAATTGTAACATCAAAAATGTGGATCTAATCAAAAGTTGATCCAAATTTTTGGCATCACAATTTGATCCACCTTTAGTATCAAGTTGATAGTTCGAATAAAACTATGATATAGTGTAATTATTTTTATTGCAAAAAGGTGAAAAAAGACAATTTTGATGTTCTTTGTCCTTCACCTTTCGTGTCCTTGTGATTATTTGAAGCTAAGAAAATGGCACAAGACGCATACAAAGTAAAATTGTCGTCGCCGTGGTCCAGATCAGATCGCGACACTCATTCGTTTAGGTCCGGAAATGACGTCATAGACACTCTCTTTGCTCTGGGAAGAATGAGGAAGAGGGGATTGGATAAGAGATTACAGATTGTATAGACACGCGTAAATTTGTTCATGTCAAATTGTCAATTGTCTTTTCTGATTGCAACTTATTGGTTGTTGCACAGAGACACACTGTTGCGCTGAATGCACAACACTATATAATAATAAGCAAACAGTGCCATTTCGTCTTCTTTCAACAAGTAAATTAATCTTACTCAAACCGCACTCTCTTCGTTACTCATCATCGCAGTTTATTAACTTTCATTGTAATCTTGTCATGGTAATTTATTTTTGTTTATCATGTTTTTATCACTTTCAACATGACAATTTTAGTTATTATTCTTTAGTAGTGTTATAAAAAAGTTTTTTAAAAAACTGTTATAAGGAGAATTTTCTACAAATATTTATTATATTTATCTCCCTGAAAGTTGCGTCGAAAATTGTTATTATTTGCAGATTTTAGTGTCTCTAAGAAAAGAATGAAAGAAGTAAAATTATAGTAACATTTTTCTATCGAAAAATGTTACTAATTTTACTTCTTCCATTCTTTCTTTCTTTTAGGTTTTAATGACCAATCGTTCTAAAGTTATTTTGTTCAATTTAACAAAATTCAAAAACCTTCGAAAATTGTTCGCTAACTTCAGGGACCTATTTTTTTGCTTCTTAGATACTTTTCTTCGGAGTGCGTCACTTTATTTATTTGCTAAAAAGGGAGTTAATTTTTTGTTTTCTTATCACTAGTAAATAAAATTCTCTTTATTTTTTTCGTACTTGTTACTGAATGACATTGATTTTCAGAATACTCAAAAAAACAATATTTGCTCATAAATATGTGTATAGTATATAGAGTGTCGCATGGTTAGGTCTTTAAGTTTCGTGTGCCGCAGTTGTAGAAAAAAGTCAATATATTGAGCGAATAAATGGGTTATTATTGCAAAAGATATTAAAGGGCTGGAAAATATGTTTCTATATTTATGCTGGAGAGACGCAGATTCTTATATTTTTAAGGTATTATTATTATTATTACAAGAATTTATTCACTTTATTGAAATTTTAATTTATTAAAATTTTTTGTTTCAGAAAAATGTTAAATTAACCAAATTTATTAACAGAACCATTTTTTTTTTGTTTCAGAAAAAATGTGTTTTGGACAATCGAGAGACATCAAGATTCAGAAAGAAACGAGACGAGAGAAGGTCCTTTTGTCTCACTCAGTCATCATTCTCTCCCGGATATGCACGTGATTACATTTCCGGTGGCCTTTTGTTATTTTGAGCAAAGGTAAGTGGAAGGACATGATTTACATTTGAAATTAGTCGATAGCAAGTCGCGTGCCGGCTTACACCTTTTGATTTATTGTTTTGCTTTGTGTTTATGTACACAATAAACTGAATACAACTCTTTTTATGTTTTTTAAGAAGCTAGAATATCGGAGAAAACAATCTCAGAACAAAAGTTCAAATTATTTCTTATTCTAAATGAAAAAACAAAATTTTAAATTCTTAAAACGTTAAAATTGAATATTTTCTTCTGTTTTGAATAAAACAAATTATGTCCCTGAAGTTGGCGTCAAAAACTATCAATTGGGTTTTTTAGAGATGAAAATTTTATCCATTTCACATTTTTCATTCGATTCGGAAATTAAAAAACAGCGTTGACGCTAACTTTCAGGTTTAATTAAAATAAGAATAATTATAACGTTGGAGTAACTTTTTTGTTTTGATGTCTGGCATGTCGCGTTTTGATTATTTTCTCTATAATATAAAATCGTGAAAATTCTCGCCATTGTTATTTAGTGATGGCAGGAATTTAATAATTACTTTGCGTGTTTTCGAAAATTGTTAGAAGTTAAATTCTATCAAAAGTATATTATAGGATTTGCAATTGCGGTGCAAATGGCCATGAAAATGTTCTCTGCCATATACGTGTGTATATCATCCAAGTTGTACTTACTGAACCAGAACTTAACAAGGTCGTATACTTAACAAGTGCTTAAAGGCCCTGTTTAAGGGAGGGTCTTTCCGTCTTGCCTTTATTGAAAAATTACCAAGCTGGTCTTTAATGGCAAATTAAAAACTTCAATGCTCATAATAATTCATTAAATGATTAACTTAAAATTGAAAATTACTTTTTCGATAAAATTCTCGATAGTTCATTTTTCATTTTACTATTTCTATTCTATACTCAAATATTTATTTCTATTCTACTCGAATATTATTGTCAATGTTAGCTTAAAAGTATCAAATTGCAACGAGTTGATACAAAAAATTCGGATCAAATAAAAAATTGATCCTAATTTTTGGCATTTAATTTAATCCAGTTTAATATCGAGATTCGCAACATTTTTGATTCGCTTTTTGTCTCAATTTGATATCCGCAGTAAAACTTAATTATTAATTCTATTCAAAAATTATTAATTCTATTCGAATTATTTTCTACGCGAATTAATTCTTCTTGAATTATTTACAGTTTGTTCGAATTTATCTCCAGTACTTTCAATACATTCCCGAACAGTTTGAAACTAGTTTCGAACAAGACTCAGTCGCGGCAATTAGTAAAAGATTCTGACAAACCTCCAACTTCCTTCTTCTTAAGAGGATACAAATTACAAGTTAAAATGCATAAGATTAGCATTCGAACTTTTGAAAAATGAATCTAGTAGTTAAGAGAAGGAAATTGATTAAATATGAGATTTTTATCACATTTAATGTTTATTATCTGCATTATCAAGTTCAGAGTAAATCTCCGTTTATTGATATAGAGAGATTTTTAATTGAATTTTGTCTTTCACTTAGTAATTAATATTTTTAGTAGCAAACAGAAATTAAAGATTAATAAATTGCATAAAGTTTTTAGAAAGCTTTTTTAGAAAGTTTGTTTATTTTGGAAGTATAACCGATTTATAAACATTAGAAACGTTTGTTGTAGGACAAATTACTTACAGTGTGACGTTTTGCAAGAGATTTGCATTTAACGAGATCACTCACGCGTACTCAACTAAATTAATCATGTCTACATCAGATGAATGGTTGTAACATGTCTCGTGACTTTTTTTTACCCCTTTGATTTTGGAACTTTTTTTTCTCTCAATTCCAAATTAATTCTCCCTCTTTCTCTCTCGACTCTCTCTGTTGAAAATTCAACAGATAATTTCAATCACGAACATATTCAAACAATAAACTACTTTTCATCACTTGATTCACTCTTCACTGTAAAGAAATGATTTTGTTTTGTATTTTGGATGATTAAAATTTGCGCACCTCTTTTTTTTAAAATCGAAATAATTACAGTAAGATAAAAGCGCGAGTTTATGAATTTAAATTTTGAAAATGGAAGACGAGGGAAATTTTAAATGCCATCACGTGAGTGTCATTGGTAGAAACCGCCGAGGAACTAAACGATTGTTCCTGTACTCGGTTTCTAGCGGTCTAGACCGTAGTGTAGAAACTAAAAGGACTGTTCTGACTCTCTGTCACGAGTGTGGCGCGACTGAATCGACGCTTATCGTATGTGCAACCAAACCATCAGGTTCCCCTTCATACTTATATATATGTATAGAGGCATATATGTAGAGGCAAAATATATATGAGACGACAATGAAAAAAGTAAAGTTCGCAAAACTATTTGCTTTGTTTTCCTAGAACAATAATTTGTGTATGGCTAATTTCTGTAATTTTGCTGTATCCGTAAAAAGTTGAAGATTTTCTGTATACGAAATTGCGTCAATGGGAGAATAGGATTTGGTTCAAGATTTGAAGATTATTTTTTATTGTTTGTTACTAATTTAAACTTAACTATTGCTATTGCTAAATTTTTGCTACTCTTCTCTCTAAATTTGAATTAGTTAAAAATCACAGTTTTAACTGACAATCAGTGACTGACTTCTCTATAAATTTGAATCAGTTAAAAATAACTGATTTAGAAGCATAAAGTCAGTCACTACACTGAAAAAAAATTTATTTGATTTAAATAACCGATTAATTGACTATTATCAATTAACCCTCCTGCGGTTTAATTAAATAGCAGAAATCGGTACCAAAATGGTTGAATTTACCCTGCATAGAAAATTTTATATCTCAACAGGCTTTAATAGTTTTTTGGGTCGTTGATTACGAATCCAGAGGCCATTTTTAAAAATTCAAAATGGCAAATCCAATATGGCGGACATTTTTCAAAAATTTTTTTTAATTCATTGGATTCGCTTGAAAATTGTTACTCAGGAGTTTTCGGGGTCGCTGATTACGAATCTGGCATCAAATTTTCAAAATTCAAAATGGCGGATCCAATATGGCGGTCCAAAATTTAAGAAGTTGTGTTAAGCTTCTGGAAACATTAAATTAGTAAATTTTACTATTAAATAGTAATTTCTAGGATTTATTAGTAAAATTGACTAATTTAAAAGCAAAAATTCATTTAGTATTTCAAATTAATGATCCACAAGTTTTTAACGTTGAAATGAACGAAATTTTTTTAGCATTATTAATGTTTTCGAAAATTATTATCTTTTATAAAAAGTAAAAACAAAAATTAACATTTAGAATCTTTATAATTGATTTTTTTTGTAATATTTAATGCAATATTAGTAAAATAGATTTTGAATTTTAAGTAAAAATAAATAATTTCTTTTATTATAACGTTCAAAATTTTAGGGATATAAATTAATAATGTTCCTGAAATTTTGAACGTTCAGATGTTTTAATTTAAAGTTTATTCACAAAATGTTGTTTTTTCTAATCAGAAAAATTATTATGTTTGATTCTAAGATTTTTCATTTCAGTCCAGTAATTTCTTTTAAAATATTGCAGTAAAAAAAAGTATTTCGTTCAGTTGAACGTTTAAAACTTTAGGAAAATAAGTAGTAAACATCTTTACTAATTCAAATTTAGAGAGTAATTCTATTATCAGCTTTTTTTTTGTTCAAAAATTCAGAGTTTGTCATTTTTGGCCGCATTAAAAATCAAATGTCGTTCAATATTTCAAGTATCGTTCTTCATTCCTGCGGCATGGATAATATGATATTGATTGATTGTGAATTTTTCATTATTTTCAATATTCACTGAGTTTTATTGTATTTAAGAGGATAAGTTTAGAAAAATATTGCAAACGAGGTGTAGGAGTCTGAGTCATTCTTTAAATCTTGCGCATTCTTCCTCTTAAAGAAGATATGAAATTATTTTTCAACAGATTTTTATGGATAGGAAATTTTTTACTCAAACAAAATTTATTTAATTCAAAAGAAATTTCTTTGATTAAAAAAAAAATTATTTAATTCAAGAAAATGTTTGATTTAAACAGAATTTATTTAATTCAAAAAAAACTTTTGTTTGATTAAAAAGAATGTATTTGACTCAAAAAAAAAATTTCTTCGATTAAAAGAAAATTTCTTTGATTCAAAAAAATTCTTTGTTATAAAAAAAATATATTTGATTCTAAGAAAATTACTTTGATTCAAAAATTGTGTAATTCAAACAAAATTTGTTTAATTTAAAAAAATTTCTTTGATTAAAAAAAATTGATTTCATTCAAAGAAAAGCTCTTTGATTAAAAAAAAATGTCTTTGACTCAAAGAAAATTGATTTGTTTCAAAAAAGTTTTCATTTTAAATTAAGGAATTATTTACTGGACCTTGTTTCAATGATACAATTTCCTTTATTTAAAGAACAAATTTCTTTGATTCAAGGAAAATTTGTTTGAATCAAAGAAATTTTTTTTTGAATCAAAAACCCTTTTTTTGTTTAAATAAAAAATTAATTTTCAATGAAACAAAACGATTTTAGGAATCTGATTTGTTTAAATTAACAAGAACTCTTTTCTAAGTGTTTAAATTTTACTTTTAGTTTATTCTAAATAAAGTTTGTTTAATCGAAGTAAATATTTATTTGATTTAAGAGAATATTTTGTTCAGTTTAATAAATTTTGCGTTCAAATAAAGAATTGGGTCATCTAAAGCATATTTTTAGTTGAAACAAACAAATTTTTGGTTGTAACATTGCACATACTTGGTTGAATCAACCAAAATTTGGTTGTTTCAAACAAAAATTTTTTTTTTAGTGCAAATGAATTTAATTTGAGTTAGTAATGTCAGTATTTTGAAGCATTTATTTGAGTTTATTTGATATTTATTTAAGTGACTATTTAATTGATTTAAATAAAAATTAAATTATACCTGCAAATAAAAATTATTTGGTACAAATTAAAATTGTTTAATGCAAATAAAAATTATTTGGTAGAAATTAAAATTGTTTGGTGCAAATAAAAATTATTTGATACAAAAAAAATTATTTGGTATAAATAAATATTTGGTAATAGACAAGTAATCGTCTGTTTGAATCAAATAAATTTTTTTCAATGTAGAGTATTAATGACTGAAACATAATTTTTCCGTGAGCGATGAAAATTGTTAGAATCCTACCTTTTTATGAATGAAAATCGACAAGTGCCCATAATTTTATTTCATTTCTTCCATTGTTATTGTACACAATAATCCTACACGTTAACTGATTGTTCACAAATTTTCAAATATTAGAAAATTTACTAAGTCTTCTCTATAATTAAAATATAAAGTTGATCTGTAATTAACGGATGATATAATTAATTGAACAATTAACAAAAGAAACAACTGAACAAAAAATATCGAATTAACAATTAAAATCCCTTTTATGACAGTTTTACACTTTAACATTCATGAGTGCACATATTAAAACCGTACAACTTGTATAAATTAAAGAACCGCGTACGCATCGTATAATATAGAAAGTGAATTATTAATAATCCGGATTTGTGTTAAAAATAATGTTCAACATTTTATTTAAATCAACAAAAAGGTAGTTTTAACGAAAAGGAATTTTCGACTTTATTGAAACGGATGTGACGAAAAAGTGAGAAAAAAAAAGACGCGGTACTTTGTAGAGGAGACGTGACTAATGCGCAAAAAGTCAACAAAAATTGAGTGAAAGATAAGATAATAATGGGTAAATGGGAAAGTATATAGGTTGTCACAGGAGAAAAAAATCATCTCCAATACGTTATCTCGCATCGCGTTTAGGGAAACGGTTTACCGAACGGACCTCTGTTTGTATTGATAAAAAAAGGAGTTTCACAGTAAAAAGAAATGTATGACAATTCTGTATTATTGCAGCTGCCATATTCAAACTTTTTGTTGTTGAGAAGATTGTAAAGGCATCCTGAACGATAACAAATCTCTAGCTATCTTATTTGTAATTCCAGTTTAGAATATTTTTTTCAATATTTCAAATTTCAATCGAAAATTTCTATTTATAAAAATTTCTTTTCAATCGCTCACTAAAATTTAAGTTTTCTTTTGGTGTTTTAATTAATTTTGATTTTATAATTAGTTTGAATTATATAATAAAGTTAGAGAATTTCTTGTTTAATGATTTAGATCTTGGTAATAAAATTTTTCATTAAAATCGACAGGCTAATAAATGGTAATAAATGAAAATATAGCAATTTTTTCCAAGGTACGCATGCACTCATAAATTAGATTTAAACTCGATTCAATAATAATTATTTAAAATTCATTATGGGACGTGAAAACAAGTTGCTTAACGTAATTAACAAACACAAATAAACGATCTTAATAAAGATCGTTAGAAGATATGATAATTGTTGCTAAAATATTTGACCTACATGTTGCGTCATATTCTTTGAGTTTTAATACTTCTGCATGTTCAAGGTGTTTATCGAGTATACAGGCAATTGTGTCTGGAGCAATTAAAACCATTTTAATTAACATGTTTTGTTGCATTAATGTCACAATTTCGTTAAGTTTTAACTGTATTTACTTTTTTATTTGCTATTTACTTTTTTTATTTACTATTTACTTTTTTTGTTCACTAATTACTATTTGGTTTTTACTGAATAATATTTACTAAATACTATTTTATTACTTTCTCTTATAATGATAGGTTCTTTGAATTTTTTTATTATTTTGCTATCAAAATTAAAAGAATTGAACATGGAAAGAAGTTTTTATACCTTGGACAGTGATAGGTTTCTATAAAACCGCGAAAGTTTTAACTAAAGTGACTAAAAAAATTTTGCTAATTTAAATCGTCAAAGAAATAATTCTTTAATTTAAAAAGGAAAATTTTCTTGAAAAAAATAAATTTTCTTCGAGTCAAAGACATTTTTTTAACCAAAGAAATTTTCTTAGAATCAAATAAATCTTTTTTGAATCAAAGAAATTCTGTTTGAATCAACGAAATTTTTTTTAATCAAATAAATGTCGTTTGAATCAAACAAATTTTTTTTTATTTTAAGAAATTTTCTTTGATTCAAATAATTTTTTTTTTTTTCAATAAAAGAAATTTTTTTTGAATGAAAGAAATTTTGTTTGAATCAAAGAATTTTTTTTCAATGAAATAAATCTTGTTTAAATGAAACAATTCTTTTTATTGAAACCAATTTTCTTTGATTCAAATAATTTTGTTGTTCACAAAATTTTTCTTTGAA